AGGCAGTTGTACCTTCTGGAGGGAGCTGGTGCGCAGCACTGGGGTGAGGACACTGCTGTTAGTTAGGGACCACTGCTATTGACACCATTGTGCCCGTGGGATGCTCCAGGCCAAAGGCTTTCCCGGTCCCTGGTGGTTGCAGCACTGAAAGAGCAAGACGCTCTTTTAGTGTTTTTTGTTTTGCTTCCTCCACCTCCTTATTTTTGGTTTTAATTGGTATTTGGGTCACCATTACCCTGGGTTTGTGTGAATCATGTTCCCAGCCTCGCAGCTTCAGGACATGGGGAACATCCCACTGGGGAGCTTGCGTGTGGTGATGGGACGGACACCCAACCTGGCACGGACAGTGGTGAGAAATAGCTGAGACTTGGGATGGGAGAGGGGGTGTCGGGAGCTGACACAACTTGTGTGAATCGGCTCCAAGAGCCACTTCCAGCTGCTCTGGCCCAGCACACTGGAATAGTTGTGGGAAAGGAACATGAAAGCGGGCGGATTGCTGGGTCTGAGCAATGCGCACACAGCTCCAGCTGCAGCTTTGGGACTTGACTGACTCAGATGCTGGGTCCTTGTGAGGGCATGAGCTACACCCCTAAACCTCAGTGAATCTGAAGGCCGCTAAAGCCCCCATTAGCATCATCTCTCTTGGAGCAAGAGGGTGCAGAGCCCTGCAGCACAGAGTGATGGAGCAACGCTGGGGTGCACAAGGCAGCCCCCAGAAGCAGCCCCCAGCCATCACCTACATCCCCTGTAATTCTTTTCTCCTTTCTATTGTTTCCCACACCTGCATCATCTGCAGGTGGTTAAAAGAAACACGACCCCAAAGCCCTCCAGAGTTTATTTTTCTCTTCCTGACTTTTAAGACCGGCTTTGAATCTGTCAAAACCAATTCCCCCCTCCCCAGAGCTGCTTCTGGTCTGCCCCAGCCTCCCAGCTCCAGTAGCCATTTGGCAAGCCAAGAATGGGAGGAGGAGATGAACTGAGCATCTTAAAAGCAGCTGGAAACGCTTCCCACGACACTGCCAGATGAGACCTGAAGCTGTGGCATCACTGAACAGCCCCATTCCCAGGGCCTCCTTTCTCCTCCTCCATAGGTGTGTCCCCCTCCATCCCTCCCAAACCAGGAGGGCTTCTCCATGGCCATGGTGCTGGGTTTGTGCCTGTCCCTGCTGAGGCAGGGGACTGAGATTAACAGTAAGGGCACACAGCAATGTGTGCTCATTGGTCAGCATCAAATGATGCTCCAGCCGTGTCCACATCAGCCCAGCGAGCCCTCACTTATTTAGGTGGGCTGTTGAGTTAGAAGCCCCTTGAGGAGCAGGGGTTCACACTGGCTCCCTGCCCAAGCATCCCATCCACTGGCCCCAGAGCAGCCGCATTTGGAGCAGATCCTGAGTGACCGAGTGATTTATGGGGTGCAAGCGCCAGGTCCCACGGTGATCGGTGGTGGGAAGAGGAAGCGGGTGGGAGAAGGGCTCCGGCACCAGCATCTGCAACACCTCGTGGTGAGAATGGAGCTGTGCTTCCTCCCACTCCCCCTCATGGACCAGGGAGGGCTTAAAAAGTCCCTGAGCAGCGATTTTTGCTGAGGTCCTGGTGAGAAACACCTCCTGCCCCAGGAAAAGACGTTTTTGCCTGCACAGTCAAGGCACAGCCCTGCCTGCAGCAATAGAGACATCATCCACGGCAGGAAAAGCCCTTCAGCTCCTGCCAACATCCATCCCCTCTCCACCATGCAATGGCACAAGGGCACAGCAGTGTGACCAAGGTGGCCCAGGCCAGGCTGCAGCCATAGGGTGTGGAGGAGCTCTCCCCTCATCTCTCCTGTGTCTGCCTCCACTTGCAAGCCCTTCCCACTGCCAATAGCAGGACTTCAGCATCCCCATGTGGTCAGAGAGATCGGTGTCTCCCTGTTCAGGCATCCTTCCGAGCCGACACGGTTCTCTGTCCTGGCCTCCCTCGCAGTGCAAGGAAAGGCTATGACCGCCTGAATGCAGATGTGGTCCAGCAGAGTGGGATGGGGAGATGGTGTCATTCCTTCCCAAGAAGAGACAAGGATGCTTCAGGAGGGGTTAGAGAAGATGAGATGCAGTGTCAGCTGCCTTCCCGGACACATGGCAAGTCAAAGTCCCAATAGGACCCTCCTGAAGGAGAACCATGAACCCAGTTCTCAGTGGAAGAAGCTGCGCAGACCCAGGCTTCAGCATCATTACCGGATGCTGCATGCAGAGCGCTGCATTCAGCAGGAAGCATGACCTGTAGCATGGGCCATTCCCCACCCCAAGAGGTGACAGGAGCTGGGGACATGTAGTCAATAACTGCATCCCAGCTCTGCTTGCTGCTTTGCAGGCTGCCAACCCACCGGCAGCTCCCGGAGCCAGCGCTCCCGTTGGCACAGCTCAGCACACCGCAGGAACAATTATGTTTGAAAGCACCTCCCCGGGGCATCCCTCCCTGCCTTATCTTTGAGGGCAGAGATCTAAGGGACCACTACTGAAGGCTGATCAGAAGCAAAGGTTTATTCAAACACATACTTCACCCTCCCTTCTGTTTCATCCCTGCTCTGCATAGCCCTGCCCTGCTCGTGCCAGCACAGGAGCAGAGCAATGAGACAAGCAAAGCCTGTGGCTGCTGGGGACAGAAGGCTTGAAAGCACTGGGAAACGTCACCAGGGAAGCGGCCTTTGCATGTTCCCATCCCCACCGTGGGAGTCCATAAACCTGGTAAAATATTTACATGCTGACTGTGATGGGGGCTTTGTTTTCCTTCACGCCATCAGATTCCCTTGTCTGCTCGAGGCTCTTTGCATCAGAGAGCGTGTTTAATCATCCCGGAGCAGGGATGGAGAGGGAGAACGTGGGCTCCTCCTTTGGGGGGAAAAAAAAGAGGGAAGGAAAATCTGTCAATCATTACTGAAGGGAGGAAAACCGGTGTCTGTGGAGACGGTGGTGTCCCTGCCCATGGCAGGGGGGTTGCAACCTTAAGGTCCTTTCCAACCCAAGCCATTCAATGACTCTATGATTCATGAGTGTGAAAGGCAGAGCAGGAAGCCCTCTGTGGTTTACTGATGGGTGTGAGTTTCAGCCATACAAATGCACAAAGCACTTAAAAAACACACAGCATCAACAGAGTTAAATCATTGCCTTCCAAGGAAACAGGCCATACTTGTGCATGTACAATCCCCTGGCACCAGCGGCACCAAGGGTACCCCAGAGCCCAGCTCAGGTCCAGGCCTGCAGGATGTGGTCCCCTCTCAGCAGCCTTCAGACTGGCTCTGCCACTTAGTAGTGACATCCAGGGCCATCAGCGTGGGCCTTAAGGACAGCATCACTGGGTAGTTTGGGAGCTTTCTGTTTTAATGGATCCACAGCGACCAGCACTGCTGGAGCCATCTCCTGCCACCCAAATCTGCCCAGAGGCTTTTCCATGCCCACTCCCACCCCACAGTTGTTTCCTCTTCGCCCCAAAATACCCTCTGCTCCCCCCCAGCCTTTATCCTAGAGCTCTACTTCAGGCACAGAGGCAGGAGGTGCTGTTTGGTGATGGGGAGCTTCCCAAAGACACACAACTGGTAAGAGATGGGCTGAGCACAGGGGTAAGAACAATGGAGGCAGGAGAGCAATCCCTTGATTTGACTGGTGTGATCAGGCAGAAAACAGATCAAGAGAAGGTAAGGTTTACAGGCAGGTAGGGGCTTTAGTTCACCACTTGACAGCGGTGCGGCAGAGCGGGCCTGCGATCAGAGAACAGTACAAATGAAGAACTAAAAAGAAACCCACGATAGCCTGGGGCTGAGACGAGAAAGAGGAGCCCGCGCTGAGCTGCGCCAGCTCCCCTGCCTCCTACCAAAGGCACGTACGTACATCTCATCAGCTGGAAGGGGGATGCTTCCGCAGCGGCTGAGCCGGAGCTGTAACTCCCATGGCATTCCATCATTCGATGATCCTCAGCCTGCCAGGCCCCCAGCACAGACCACTCAAGGGGGATACAATCCACAGCGTTTCTGAAGCATGATTAGCGCAGCTTCCCCCAGTGGGCACATCTGCATCGATCATTTCTCTTCAGAGGTTCTGCTGAAGCTGTCCAATTCCATTTTAACAGTCCAGGCTTCAGACTGGATTAGAAATCCCCAAGTCTGGGATTTCTAACAGAAACAAGATAAGGCTGAGACCTAGAAGCAAAGTAAAAGCCAGCCCTGCTAATACCAGTGCACATGCTTCATCTCACAGCGCAGGACTGACACTACTGTTTGATTTTTGTAGTAGGGACATACATACGTATATAAAGATATACTTTTATTCCTTCCACCCTCTAGTAGCTATTAGACTGCATGATTCTTTTATCATAGAATCACAGAATGGTTCGGGTTGGAAAGGACCTTAAGATCATCCAGTTCCAACCCCCCTGCCATGGGCAGGGACACCTCACACTAAACCATGGCACCCAAGGCTCTGTCCAACCTGGCCTTGAACACCACCAGGGATGGAGCATTCACAACTTCCCTGGGCAACCCATTCCAGTGCCTCACCACCCTTACAGTAAAGAACTTCCTCCTTATATCCAATCTGAACTTCTCCTGTTTAAGTTTGAACCCGTTACCCCTTGTCCTGTCACTACAGTCCCTAATGAAGAGTCCCTCTCCAGCATCCCTATAGGCCCCCTTCAGATACTGGAAGGCTGCTATGAGAAGCATGCAGCTTCTCTTCTTCAGGCTGAACAGCCCCAACTTTCTCAGCCTATCTTCATACAGGAGGTGCTCCAGTCCCTGATCATCCTCGTGGCCTCCTCTGGACTTGTTCCAACAGCTCCATGTCCTTTTTATGTTGAGGACACCAGAACTGCACACAGCGCTCCACGTGGGGTCTCATCTTCTCTTCCTGGCTCTTCCCCAGTATACGGAAGGTAACAACATTCAGGCAGGTTTATGAACAGAAAACAGTCAGGATATAATAACCCATGAATAAAAAAGGGAGAGAAAATAAGAGTCAATCAATAGGAACAGTGGTTTTAAATCGTTTATTTTTAAAACATGAAACCCAAGCTGAATAGAAACCACAGAAATTACATTTAGGTTTTGTTGTTTAGTATTTGCAAACCAAAAAGTTACAGTAAAAAATAGCTACATTACAATCAAGAGAACTACAGAATTCAAAGTAAAGATACAAAAAAGAAAATGGGCTCAATCCTCTTTAATCCTCACAATTTAAAAACGTTTTGGGTAAGTGCAGGAACACTTGAAAGGAACTAGCAGGTCCAAAGTCTTAAAAAAAATTATATATATTTATATATATTATATGTATATAAAGTGGTATGATATACAACCATTATGGTTAAGAAGAACAAACAGAAGAGTTACAAAAAGGCCAGGTACATGTTCACCAGTAGGTTTCTGTGCACAGTGTCCAAGAAAATAAACTTCCCTCTGAATGATGTGAATAGAACTCATGGGGCCTCCCGTTACCAAGGGACCTGAGGCACACGACGTGACGCTGGGCAGCTGGACCCGATGCAGAGGACAATGAAGGGAATGAAGCTTTTCTGGGACTTGAGGGGCCTCCTGGGGAGAGGCCCCTGGAGAAGTCTTGGTGTGAGATCAGAGGAGGAACAGGAAGGAAGGAGTCGGGAATTGCATAGTGAGGAGCAATGTGGTATCAAATATGCAGAGCACCTAAGAGCTTCATGCTACAGTTATCTATCCTCTTTAGGAAAGGAGTGTTTTGAACGTTCTGGTTGTACATCAATTTATGTTCCACTTTGTTCATGCATGCAGCTGCAGGGGCTGGGTGAACACCCGGGTGCTCCAGGCCACCAGTAACCCACTCCTTTTCTCTCCCAACTGGGAAACACCATCAGGAGATCCCCCCCCAAAAAAGCACAGATCACTTGCTAGCCACCTAGGAACTGCTACCGAAACATCCCACATGTCCAGGCCTCCTGGGGAAGCCATCCATAGCATGCACACAACAGTATCTAGAAGAGGGGAGCGGGCTGCGATGAAAGAAGCCACCTGGTTTTAAAGGTACAAATGAAGTCTGGTCAGGTCTGTTCTCTCAAGCCATTAGATCTACTCCCTGGAGGGCTTTTCCCCTCCTACCCAGAGATATTCACTGCGTTACACTAACACAGACTTGTTGAGCTGGGGAAAGTCCTTGGCTTCTCCTTGGTCCCCAGATAGGAAGTACTTCAAAGCCAGCTCCTCTCCCTAGCTCCCACCTCATCTACTCCTGAATCAGGTTGGGTGGCTACAAGCAACAAGCCAAGACACCTCTCTTCTTCAAAGGGCTCAGCATGGTATTTCAGTTGCTGCTGGAAGGAAAAGGTGGGACCAGGGGTGAAGCAAGGGTTTATCCACCCTCTCCTGTCTGCTATCACCCTGCAGCACCCTAAGCTCTTGTGAGTAATGGCTACGCAGCCCCCCGAGAAATGGGTTTACTCTCAGGAAGGCCAAACTTTTTCATGTATTTTCAAGGAACAGCTCTGGAAATCCTAACTTAGGATCACTTAAAACCCCATGCACTGTGTCCCCATCAAAGCACTCAAATGAACACCCTTGCATCTTGGCTGAGATGACTGTACACGGAAAATTAACAGCTATCAAATGGAGAAAACTGAAAAAGGACAGGAGGGGAAGGGAGCACTCCATCCTTCACATTTGGGTACATGGATGCACGCTAAAAACCTTAGCTTGAACCCTTTTATCAGCACATAAAATGAACTCAGTTTAATAATACATACAGGATACAAACACTACAGTTATATTCCCAAGACAGCACAAGAAATTCACAGCCAAGTCTTGATTCGATTTCCTTTACAATTACAATGCAGTCTTGAACACTGGACATGAGAGTCCAACATGCTATTTACATTTCACATTGTGGAGATGTTTGTGTGCTTGGAAGAGTTCTCAGTTCCAAAAGAAAGTGTCATTCACACATGATGATGCAGTGGAAATAAACCAAGCCAACCAGACAAGCCAATGGCCACATTTGTGCTTCTGAAAAAGTAACATGAAGTGTCTTCACCGATGGAGTCACCTTCAACCGGACAAGCTGCCTTCCACGTTGCAGTCAGTGAAGTGTCCAGAGGCCAATCTCATCTCCCCTGAATTCTGGACCCTTTTGATAGCAACCAGTAACATTAAGAGTAATGTTCCAATAAGGTCAGCTGGGATACACCAAGTGATATGGCCTTGGTGTTTTGTCACATTAAAAACAAGAGAGACACAATGGAAGAGAGAGGAGTCTCTACAGCTTTACCTCCTACAGCTTGAAGAGTTTGGACTCCCTCAACCATGAATGCCATCTAGAACAGATGAGTCTTCGCCAGATAGCACCTGCTGTTCACCCGAGAGGGAGGCACAGAGCCTGGGAGACCTTGGCTTTGGAAAGTCTGCTCCTCAGACAGAATGTGACCATATGGATGAGACCGACTGTGTCGCAGCCATAAGAATAGGCAAAGGCCATCTGTTCTTCAGCAGATCCGTTCAGACCAGCCCGCAGGAATGCCACACTGTTGCTCAAGGTTCCAGTAAAAACAAAAAAAAAGAGAAGAAAAAATAAAAGTAGTAATAATAATAAACCCAAAAGAAACCCATTTGTCTGTGTTTCCTATCCAGCGCTCTGCACAGCATGCAGCGGGGCAGCAGAGTTCCAGGATGCTTTACAAAAGTGCAATATCCATGTCAAGTAAAGGAAGTGCTGGCTGGACAAAGGTACACAGCTCACACTGCAGTCACGTTATGCTGGCCTCTAGAGAGCAAAATGTTATTTCCGGAACATTCTTTCCAGTTATGTTTTGAAGTCACAGAGCACGTATCTCCACATCTGTGCCTTGCTGCAAGCCCCAGACTTCGTCACAAGTTGTTCTGGGTGTTACAAGTGGCTATGCCAAACCTTGGAAGGAAGCAAGTCGAGGTGGCTGCTCCATTAGATGCTGCAAACACAAAGGCATAGGCTCGCTCCCTTGGTAGCCCTGCTGGCACAGACAATACCAGCGTGGCAATTTAGATCCAACCCAAAGTGCAGTCACACGCATGTTCAGGATGCATTCTGTATACAGAAAATTCAATATACAGAAGCACTTGTTTACACAGGGTTCCCCACACCCTCCAGCCTTCAAAACACTTGCCTTCAATGAGCAGGATAGGGCCACAGATTTTAGGGCAGCTCCCCTAGAACTGACAGTGCAAGTAGTGATCCAAACACATCCTTGCAAAGAGAGATGATGGCAGAACAGCTCAGTCTTGATAAGGATTATATGGCTCTTGCTTCTTTCTTCAAAGCAAGGGGAATGTTCAGCTCCCCCCACATAGCAGTTGTGCGCTTTGAGCCCTGCAAAGCTGACCACACCACATGCTTGCACACCAGCTCTTCTGGTAGGCTTTTAGACAGGGTGGAAATGGTGCTCATGAGCCACAGTGTCTCTCCATACCACTTGTGACTACATTTCCCTGCCCTTGTTGTTTGATAACACAGAGGTATGTTTCAGTGTGAAGCCCATGTCTGAAAGGGCAAACTCAGTCCTGAGCAAGAAAATTCTGTTTAAAGAGTGTTAGGGTGAAGTTTTCTCCAAAACCTTCTATTCCTGTCTGCATGGTGGTACCTCTTTCCTGTTTCCCTCACTCCATTGCATGGTAACAGCTTTTGCAGTCTATTAGTGGTTTCTATCTAAGTAAGAGTCTCAAAGCTTGCTCTTCCACAGAACTGGTACCATTCTACAGCAGAATCCATCATCTGCATTAGCTACCTGCTAGGAGCAATTCCTACTCACTGCAAGAAGGCAACTGACTTGAGTAAAGGCAGATTGGTAGATTCTGTGCCTCACAGAGCAAAACCATGGGGTAAACAGACACAGAGTCTGAACATCACTGAGGTGGAGACCAACTGCCTCTGCCAATGGCTCAACTCCAGTTTGAGAGACATTTCCCACTTTATTTCCTCTGCCAATTCTTTAATGCAATGCTCAGCAGCTACACTAAGATGCCCATGCTCAGAGGTAAAAAGGAACATCATCACTACCTTACTGAAAGGGCAGTACTCCACAGCACATCCCAAGAGGCAGTCTCCTCTTCCAGTAGGAAGCTGTCAGTGCCCTTTGGAGCCCTGCTCTTCAATGGGAAGTACAGCACCAATGGAGAATGTTGCCCTCTTCCAGGCACCCCAACTGCCCCTTTGCAAGCCTCACGTCTAGGAAAAATGCCCTACATGTGCCTTAAGACGGTCAGATAGTGGTCAGCAATGTGCCTTGAGAAACAAAATGAAATGAAATAGAATAACATAACTTGTTCTGACAGCCACAATGTTCTCCAGATGTCATTCGGGTTTCTGACCCTGGAACACAGAAGATATACTGACAACGGTGTGACTTTGTTAGGACTGAGGCTCCAAAAACCTCCTTCAATGCCAGTTCAGCAACTCTGTGCTGTAAATCATGATTTTTAATTGTTTTTTTTTTCTTAAGAAAATAGAAAGTCCAGCAGAGTTCACAGGTTACCGCTGCAGGGAGAGCTTGCATTTGCTATGAATCCATTGCTGCTTCCAGCCTCTCTCGCTTTTGCAAGCTGGCTGTCCCGTAAGACCTAGCATCAGAGAGCTGAAACTCTTCAGTGCAAAAATATTCCCCATAAAGTCTTACAAGTCTTTTCCTGGAAAAATTTGGCACCAAGAGGGTGGCTGGCTCCTGCTTGATCTGTGTGGCGGCCTCAGAAAGGCAGCACCCAGAATGCCACCTGCAAATACCTGGGCTTCCCTGGTGGAGCAGAGAGGTCAGGTTCAGAGCAATGGACAGGGTAGTTCACTGGTGCTGGGACCCCTTGCTCCTCCTCAAGAATTCACAAGCCAGATACAGTGGGAATGAAAAAGGCATTTTCTTAATGTTTCTTTTTAAAGTTAACCAGGGCAGAGGACTGGGTTGCTCTGGAAGAGCCCCAGACTCCCAAACAACAGTGGATATGCAGTAACACCATAAGGCAGGAGTTTCCCTCCTCCCTCACACCGGGTACTAGACCGAGGACTCCCACCACAATGCTGCATTGTGCATTGACTCAGCATTCCCTCGCTGTATGCTAGTCACAGGCTTCTTCAGTGTATGACAGACTGCTGATGCCACTGCAGAAGTGAAGATCACGACCATCTTTCACTGAGCCCCTCTGGGGAACAGAAGGGGAGCAAAATAAAGGGGGAACAGAAGATATTCACCAACTCTTTCAGATAGGCTACTCTAATCAGTGGTGGACCCAGTTTCTTGCCTGGGGGCTCTCAGTGGCTTGCCTGCACGTGCTTGCTCTCTTGCACATCAGGCAGGTACAACAAGGTGAAGGCTTAAATTCAAAAGGAGCTTCCACTCCAGTGGACAGGTACCAGGTTGGAGGGGTGGTCTGGACTGGAGAGACAGGAGGAGCTGCACTGGATTTTGGGCAGAACAGCAGGATTGTTCTACGAGGACAGCACAGGGGCACAGCAGTTGGCACATTGTTTAGTCTGACTGCATGTGTGGGTTTTGTTTTTGCTTTTGCTTTTTCATTTTAATGCACACTGCCAGCATCTGGACGAGGTTGGTTGGTGGCGAGGTATTTGGCTCTCATGCTGGAGGTGTACTGGAGGAAGACAAGACAAAAAGAAACAAAACAGAACAGAAAAGTAAGTCAGAATGACTTAATGTAAGCACAGAACCACAGGTTACGACCACCTCCCTGCATTAAAAGGTCTGTATTTACAGCAAGCATACCAAGGAGCATAACAAGGAAAGTTTCACAAGTCCACTCTGAGTAACACACTGTCAGCCTGCTGCTAGGTCAGAGCAGATGGGCTTGTTTTACCCAAGCCCTCTACACAGAAGGAAATCCAATAGCTATTGAGTTGAAATATGCCATACTTTGCTAGGGAGAAGAGAGGGAAATGGAAATGATGTAGACGTAAAAACCCACCTCACACCTTCATCCTCTCTTAATCATGTTCTTGCTTTCAACCACGCCACAAAAGGAGGTTGAAAAGAAACTGAGTGTGCAACTGCCTTTTCACATTGCATTTTATAGCAATGAGGTCATCAGAAGACCACAGATGGGCAGTTTGAAAGAAAAGTGTGGAAGAATGAATCTCTGAACAATTTATGCCCAAGAAAGAACAGACCCTGCCAGGCTGGAAACAGGCTGCCATCAAACAAGATGATATTAGCTAACAGTCATCAGATGGGTAATAATCCATTGTGACTTGGGATCCAACCTGCATACCATTCACTGATGGACATGACTACAGACCGGGGGTGAGAAGAGAAGGCCAGCAAGATGAAAGGTTGATTTGTTTGGGGGGTATAAGGGGTGTTTTATTCTTATTTTCATTTTTATTCTAAGAAAAGTAATCCAAAAGAGCTCCCAGAAGCTCCGGAGGTAACGTATGTCATTCAGCTCTGAATAATGAGCTAAAAAAGGCATGTAAATACCACCCAGCAGTAAGAACAAAAGGCTTTGCCTCTTTATGCCAGTGTGTTCAATGCCTTCATCGTGACCACATTACTGCTTCTGGGATTCTGCTACCATGATACTAATAACCAAGCAATGAGGACAGATATTTTATTCCTCTTTTTATACCCAGTGGAGCTTGAATAATTCTACAATGCCCACATCTTACTTCCCAAGAGTGCCCTTCAGCATCCTGACTTTTTATCACCTTTAAAACTGAACCACATAAAACAGCCGGTTAAGCGGGTAAAGAGACAACTGAAAGGCAGTTCCACACCAGGAGTTATGATTTATCTTGCCCACTGGGAAAGAACATTATGAGGCATCTTTAAGCTCTCAAAAGCTCAGCGGTCCAAAGGCATTTTCAGAGTATTAACAGCATTTTATCAGTTTTCTTTCAAAGGCTGACCCAGGCTGAATCTCTGCACAATAGAAGCAAGAAACTGCTCCTTTGGCAGAGCTGACCCCATCAGCATAAGATGAAGACACCTGCGGCTTTATTTGCACATTCATCTTTCAGCGTCTTCCATAATTGGAAAAACTTTCTGCAGAACAGAGATCTTAATATGAAACTCTGGCCCAGAAACGGCATCTATATTTAGAAGACAAAGGGTACATCTGTTCTTTCTGGGTTTAAGATGTACTTTTTTTTGTCAGCGAGAAGGCAAAAGGTAGAAAATTCCAAGCTGAGCCAGTTTAAGGACTATATATGCTGTACAGTTTATTAAATGTGATTTCTGGTTCAGAAATAAAGGTAAGGCCGTTATTAAAACATATGAGACTAACCCAACAGGCTCAGAGAGGCTTAGAAGTCAAGGAACTTTCTCACAGAACAAGTAAGGCATGTTTCAGGTAGAGCAGTGCTGAAATTACCAGCTAAACATCATGCTAAGAGGGTCTTGGAAAGAAAACTGAGTGAGCTCATTTTCCATTTGTATTCTCTATGGTGACATGGGATAGGAGATGAGTATGAACAGAGAATTCCAGGTGCTAAGGTTTTGGAAAAGGTATTTAGGAAAAAAAATAAATCTCAGATCATGGAAGGTGATCGTGCGTCTTCCTGGACAAGTCATATAGGCTCAGCACACAACATGCAACATCAACTTTCTTTAGAGCATTAAAATCAATAAGGGTCACTTGAGGAACTGCGTTTCAAGGATGTACAAAGTACACCGCATGGAGGAAGGAGTTGTAAAGAGTTCACTCCTTCCTCCACCAAGAAAACAGCCCACAGTTCTTTAAGTGTCACTAAAACAAAGTAATCAGGAACATGAGATTTGGACAGTCAAGCAGAGGGCATTTTACATTCAAACCTACCTGCAATCCACCACAAGGAACAAATCAAGACTCAGAGTAGTCAGAGTTAGGGCTGATGTTCTCTCCTTAACTCAGGATTTTTGCTCCTTTGTACCTTTTCCCATTACCATTTGAACCAGTTACTCCTTCTGTTAAAGTGTATTTTTAATGACCATGGTAAGTACCATTGAAACCTGGGAGCAGAGAGCTAACACTTCACTGGCCACCTCTCACGACCAGCCCAGCTCTATCAGCATGCACTGGATCTTCAGTCACTGCATTAGACCCCATGTATGAGTGCTCTGCTCCACATGCTGTTGACAGTAGTTCCTCATCCAAGTCCTTCAGTGCTTCCTCTCCCGGGAAGCAGAGGAAAAATGCTGTGGAATACACAGATTCCAACATCTGGACAGAGCAGCAGATGAAGACGTATCAGCAGACACTTGCCAGTCACACTGATAAGAAACCAAACTGTATTACTGGTAGTTAAAACAAGTCTTTAGCTCCTTTATAAAGTAATTCTAAAGACTTAACAGCCTGAGCACAGTTCAGAGCTAAGGAGGCCATTGACTCTACTCTGAGGTGACCTGGATACAGTGTCTGACACAGATGTAAGGTGTACAGTTGCATTTAGTTTCCTTTAAAGAGGAGCTTTCATAGAAGGTTAAAGAACATACACAATGCAGTCATTCTTCCAGTACTCTTGCTGGAAGTACCCATGTGCCTATACACCCTCATTGACCCTTTCAAAAACAGCACAGAGGACAAGTTTCAACCCATAGCTTCACCACACTGCCAGCTACCTTAAAAAGCGTACCTAAAAAGGCTTCTTGTTACCATTTCTGCTGGTGGCTTGTGCTATTGAACACAGCACACCTCCCAGCCACTTACCAGTCAGCTAGGACAAACACAGCTGATTGCACACAGCTTTATTTTTGCATTAGTCCAAAGAAAAACAGTCTCTCCTTCACATTCAGCCTTGTTGAGGGTATAAACTTTCATAGGTATGGTTTGCCAGCAAACACTAGTTGGGTACTTAACACATACAGCCTGTGTACAAAGGAATCTTTAGTTGCAAATAAAATTAATGGGTATAATCAGTTAATTTTAGAGATCATAAATTCTACCAACTCCTGTGACCTCTGCAGCCCATGAGTACTTCACAGCTAAGCAAGCTATGCTGGAAGGCCACTTACCATATGAAACCATGACTGAGAGTATAAACCATTTACTATTTGTGGTTAAAAAACCCACACATACTCTCTTCAGCTACCCTGACTGATTTCCTGCCAGAGCTACTCAGGTAATTCAATAAAGACCAAAGCTTCTGGATTCAAGTTCTTAAAAGTTGATCTACCCCTTAAATAGAGCACAGTAAACACAGAGGGTTTGGTATCATGTATGGGAGGTACAAGATGCAGGGAAACAGGCAATTCCAGCCAGCGGGTTCTCAATTCAAAGGGACTGAAGTTTTCCAAGTTAAAAAGAACAGAGCTTCTGTTTGCTTTGTTTGTTTTTAAAGTCTTGGAAAGAATGCAATGTTTTTTTCTTAGCCCTGCAGACAGCCACATTAAACTCTGGGTGTGACCTTAGATAAATAGAAGACAGTGCAGAATGAGATCAGGTGATGTTTCAGCCCAGAGGAGATTTAGTCCAGAATGAGGACACCAGAATGTTCCCCACTCCAAGCAATCCTTTATTTCATGGGATAGACCCATCTAGCATCACTACAATACCACCTGCAGGAACCAAAAAGCAGAAAACACCACCATGAGCTGATGCCCAAGAGCAGTCTTTTCAAGACTTAAGACTGAAGGAAGTTGTGACCCTTTCAAGGGGGCTAGCACCATGCTTCAGGACAAGTTTGTTTGCATTCATGCACCATGGCAGAGGGCATCAAGGACACTTCCCAGCATGTCACAAGGCAGGCAGACAAACAGCAAGAGGCAGCAAGAATGCAGACCAAGCAGCAACATGATGGAAAGCAATCCAATGTAAGGCTGACAGAAGTCCCACCAGGAATGGCAGAAAGGAAGGAACAGCAGCTTCATGGACATATATTTCCAGGAACAGAATGTAAGATAGGGGTCACTGATTGCATGAGCCAAAAGCAATTCTGTTCCAGCTGGAACCAACACCTTCCAGTTACTGTGTGACTGCAGCTCCCTTGAAGATGCACTGTCCTTCATGCACAGGTAAGTTGCCTGGTAGCTCTAATTACACCCTGTATTCAACCAAGCTCAAAAACTACAAAGCCTAATGCAGACCAGTCTACTCTTTCTGTAGGCACGTGGCTTTGTCATGGACAACTGCAAGGGAGGAAACATTGGCTATCTTGGACAACATCAGCAACTACAGCCCATTAGGAATTCAGACAGCGAAATGGTACTAGGGGGGCCCTGTCCACAGAGCCTGTGGGACACGGATGGGATGATATGGACACACAGAGAACAAAAAACAGTAAAAGGTTTCGAAGCAGAATGAAACAGATCTTAGTGCTTGTGTCTGGAGCCTTAGGGAAGCTCTTTTTTAAACTTGCTCCTTCCTGACTTTAAATGCAAGGATAAAAGGAGAAGCTGCACACAGATCTAACAGGCACTGAAGTAATTCTTCAGGACAGGCTACCATTACCAGCTAGGATCTTTTAGCTAATTAAAAACCCTACTGAGAGGCTAAAAGCCTGTGGCACGTACCTGTTTCAGGCACGTGCTGTTATGACCAATCAAGGCAAAACAGAACAGCAGTGGGGCTCAAGGGAAGACACAAGCTGAATTAAGAAAACCAGTCCCAAATGGAAAGCTACTATAATGGTTCTCTACTAGAAAATGCCTTCTTGTGATGGGAGAACTTCTGTTCTGCATTTGAAGTGCAAGGTTAGTTCTACATTCGAGTAGCACTCTGTATTTAGTGTTCAAGCTGTTCTTGAGTGTGGACTCTTGAGTTGAAGCTGCTGTGAGTTAGCTATTATGAGGCATGGGTGCCTACAGCCCTCACAACGTGCACCAGAAGCCTTCCCAACGTTGATACTGCTCCTTGAGTCTGCACCAGAGCAAAAACTGGTTTTAATTTTCACCCTTGGCGGGAGGGAATGGGGTGGGAGGTGCAGAGGGAAGGAATGTGAAGAAATAAAAGGCACTGGTCCGGGATAAACAGTGCAGGGATGAAGGGAGTGGTTGGGAGTGGAGTAGGGGTTGAGCAAGAAGGACCTTTTTTCCAGTACCTGTTCCATTTGCGGGCGCTGTTACCAGTATGTCCGTGCACTGTCCGAGGGCTTAAGCTGCCAGCTCATATGGCTGCTACTGTCCATGGCAGCCAAATACAACTGTGATGACGCAAGAAAGAGAGAAAAAGAGAGTGCAGCCTCAACGTGCATGAAAAACACAGTGCAAGCAAGTGAAACGCTGTGGTGAGTGTCAGCGACAAGGTGGGCTCTACAACCCTAAGGGAATAGCCCTGTGGCAAGAAGGAGAAAACAGAAGGAATGAGAGAAGGGAAAAAAACAAACCAAACAAACAAAAAGCCAGGAGAAAGTAACGGACAAACAATGCAGCAGGATCATCACATCTTAGTTTTCACCATCTGTTCACAGAAAGCTAAATGGAATATAGCAGCTCTTTCCACACACTGGACAGAACATATCTGGATGGTTATCCCCCTTCTCGTCCCTCTCAAAAAGAGGCAGGGACACGTGCATTGGTATTCCCTTTTCATCTCACTCTTCCCACAGACGGTTTGCTATGAAAAGCTACAATTTCTTCTGCCTTGGTATGGTCTCAGCCACCTGCTACAGAGAGCTGCAAATACAAAGATCCCAGAAATGCCCCCTTCCCTGCTGCCATGAGAGCAGACAGTATTTTTCTTCTCCCCACTGCCTGTCTACTACATCCCTGCAGAAAACACATTAATCCTTTAGCTACCTCCTTGCCTCATCTAGGGAGAGCTTCTCTTGTCTATAGGTGCAGCACTGTGCTCTCCTCCTCCCCCAGCTCCTGCACTTCCCTATAGCCCATATTGTTGGCTGCCAAGTATCATCTTTATCTACTCTCAGAAACCAGCCTAAGGCACCAGGACTCAAATCCCCCCTCAGAGTATTAACACAAACAGTCACTGAAGAACCAGGGAACTTGTTGCACAACTAAAGCCCCTGCGGAAAAGAGTGCTTTCTCTGAAGCAGAAGAGCTGTAGGGTAAGGGTCTACAGACATTGAATGAACATATGCCTTGGCAGTACTAGAGGGGCAGTGCCCTTCCTACAACAGGGAACACCAGCAGTAAAGCATTTGCCATACTGCACTGTGTGTGCAGCATATTGGCTCTTCTCCTGAGGACCACCTTGCTGCTGAAAGCAGATAAGAGAGCTTGTGATCAGAGTACCACCAGGGTCAGGAGAAATGCTTTGTGAAGGTTGAAAGAGGTCTGGCCAAGCACAGAAACAGTATCAACTCTCCACTTTTCACTTTCTCTTACAGCAAGACGAAGCGGTCCTTTTGGAGTGAAAACATGAATGTGATGTCCTCTTTTCCATCACAATTCCTACTCCCTCCTCCTTCAACTTCCTCTTCTTCCCCTTCCCATGAATTTGAACCATGCACCACAGAGTGTGTTTTCTTTACGTATACCTGGAGACTGGTTGATTATTAAGCATGCTACTACTCATCCTCTGTAATCACACCAAGTCAGTGAACGCTGCAATGGCATGTTCTCCAAGTTCTGGTAAGGCTTACAGGACCCAGTGAAGGAGGGCAAGATTCATCTAGTGTTTACACAGACATGAAGGCAAGCCCATGCTTTATCCAGCTTACAGAAATGGCTTTCAGGCCACTCCAAATACCAAAACCTTCCATGAAAGTTTCTTTTTTTTTTTTCCTTTATAGGAAATTAAATACAAAAAATAGATTCCAAAGAAAGTAAAACACTTGTGAAAGAAAGATTTAAAAAAAACCAAAAATCTCAACAAAAAGAAAAATAATACAGGTTTCATCCTACCATCTCTTTAGGGCAGATTAAGGAGAGAGGTTCAGCGATAACTCTGCATTTACTGTTTTACCAGGCTTCTTTAACTTGAGGAACCAATGCCACAGATAGATAGCAAGTACACTGCATGCAAGTGAATCATCCTGCTGAAGTCACCCACCAGGATACTCATGCAAACTTCAGTGGTGATAGGACTGGGCCCATAGGATTTGAATTGTATTCTTTTTACGTGCAATGTCCAAAGTAGCACGGCAGGGTTTTGTTCTCCATGGCAGGTGAGACATGGCTCGTCTACTCAAACTGCTGCCATTTATGGGCCAGATCCTGTGTTTGGCTGACAATCAGCTCCCTTGAGAGTATACAGGAGTGGTAAACGTGTGTTCCCCAAAGTTGCTGAAGCAGAGAGGAGCAGTAAAGAGAGACTTACTGAGGGAGGTGGGGACTCCCGGCCAATGAGCGGGGTATTCTCGCAACGGGGGTTCTGGAAATTTGCATTCTGGCTCCTAGGAAAGGAAGACACACATGGTAACAGGGGACATGTGCCATGCTTCGCTGGGGGAAGGTCTCTGACAGTGCCATGGGACAGAGCATACACACCCCCAGAACTACCGCATCAGGTCTGTCTCCCTCAAAGCTTTTCCTACGGGGCAGGTGGATCCCCCCTTTTCCAGGCAAGGGCACAAAGCTAGCATTATTTCCCTCAGATTAAGCACTTCTCTTACTCAGAAGGGCCCACACTGAATCGTGTCAAGTGATTTAAAAATAGATCCACAGGAAAATCTGCCTCCTTACAGCGTCAGAACTGCCAAACTGCAGAAATGGAGATAAAATGAGGACAAAGTCTAAAGGGAAGAACCAGATGATGTGCCAGCTCAGAAAAAAGATGGGCCCTGAAGCTGGTCCAAGTGTGATCAGGGGCAGGCTCTTCTGGAGAAAGCTCTGAAGATCCCACCTGGACTAGGTAGCTCCAGACTGTAACAGATGTCAGAGCTGACTGCAAATATGGTGGAAGGACAGAGCCTGAAGGTTTTGTCTTAAATCTTAGTCTCTAAGGAGGCTTAAAATCTTGCCTCTAAGGAGGCAAGACTGCTCTGTCTGAAGAATTAACTCTTCTGGTGATTAGAATAACTTGGTTATAAAGAGCCCAGACAATACTTTCCTACTTCTTTTCTCTAGATAGATTCCTAAATCCTGCAGGACAAAGCTGTTCACAGTTTGGAGCATGCTAATACAGCTCTTTCTCTACTGCAGCACTTCTAAGCTATTCCCTTCTCCCAGTAGATACCAACAAGAAGATATGTCTTTTGACACCTGGGACAAAAACCTTCATCACTTCCTACTGCTTGGCCAAAAGTGTGTGCCTTGAGTGCTTGCAACAATAGAAATGAGAGTGAAGCAACCTGGACAAGCTGCAGTACAGCCTTCTTGTCGGGATACTCACATGTACTCTGTGACAGGAGCATTGCTGACTGTGTGTGCTGCTGCTGGAATGCTGGTCTCACTGCCATAACTACTCCCACAGCTATAGAGGCTGGGCATGTGCACTCTGTAAAGATTATCGTGTGTTTGTCTACTCCCTTGAGCAGCTGATTCTTCTTCCCCATCATCATCTGAGCTTCTGCAAGAAGGAGAAAAAGTTCCTAGAACCCTACAATTACCCCACATGTGGGGTTTGCAGGAAACCATGGTAATCCTAGGAACCTCCCAACCATCTTCCACACCTCCACATTCATACCCATTTGGGATGCCTCAGGGTGGCAGTGTCAAACACAGCCTACACCAGAGTGACTCAGACCTCCCACAGATACCATCTGGACTTTTACACTGCGTGATCCCCTACAGTCACCCTACGGTCTTCTCCCAAGGCTTGGCAGACCGCAGAGTTCTGTAACTGCCCAGTCATGCAGCCAAAGGATGGACACACATCCTGAAACACACAGCACTCAGCAAAACAAAACAGAGACAGTGGGGAGGTAGCGCCAAGCATCCCACAGAAAGCATCCTTCAAAACAACAGTCTGTGTCCTTCTGTTTCTTGTAGCCATGTCCAAAGAGCTTGTAAGGATAAGCCTCTGTAGACTCCTCTGAACTCCCATTCTGGTTATGAGTCTGCTTCAGCTTCTAGCACAATCTCAGAAGTCTTCAGAGAGACTAAATTGCAACAGTCATGTCTAAAGCCTTTACTCTCTCAAAAGTGATAGAATTTTAAACCAATTTTAATGCAGAGCAGAGCTGTTTGCCAACTGGTTCATTTCCTCCTTCCCATATTAATCTTTTGTCCCTCCTACGTAATATACGCTGCTATTTTATTTCCCTATAGGATGAAACACCAAGGTTTGACTACACTTTAGTGATGGTTAACAAAGCTAGTAAAGGGTTCTGTAGGAAGCACTTTGTTGCTGGGAGAGACAGCATGGACATCACTAAACATCACCCACAGCTCCTGTACCACAAGGTGGCACTGAAGATTTATTTAGGGAATTGCAGCCTGGAGAGTCTCTTACAGGCAATAAAGGATGACATCCTCCACTTCCCAGAGGGAGGCAGAGGAAGCAGTGATGCTGGAGGGAATGCAAGAGGGAATCCTTCAGTTCACAGCAGCAGTCAGAGCCTGCTGGGGCTGGCAGGGCAGGCAGCAGCCTACATGGAATGCAGCACAAGAGAGATACCACTGCGTAAACCTTTCTCCTTAAACAGACAGACTCCCATTATCTTCTTGGTAACGTCTCTGCAGCTGCATGTGGAAGAGGTAAGGAAACCAGCCATTTTCTCAAGTGCTACTCTAACACACTTCCCAAGGCTTTCTCTGGGCACTGCAGGCCTGGCGGGCTCTGGCTTCCTGCTATTGTTCAGGATGTTCCATTTTATCTTGATCTTTGAACCTTGAGCCTGGGTTTAGACCACGAAAATTGTGTTTCAGGACCACAGAAGAGAGTTTGCTGCACAGACTGCTGCTCTTCAGCAAGAACAGAAAACTCAAAGCTATTTTAATAGCTGCATGTGATGGCAGCAGCCAGTCAGTGAAGCAAAGGTTTGCTCAACACCTCCTGATCAGCCTGAACCATTAATACTAACTCCAAACAACTCTGCTGCTAGATGACTGCCACCAATTTGCAAGTATTTCATCTGCCCATGCTACTGCCACCAAGACAGTTCTGCTTTCTATTAGCTATGCAAGTCAGTCACCTCAGTATAAGCAAAGCCAAAAAGGCAAGTGTGAACTGCTTCTCATTCCTATTCTCTTCCCCGTACTAGAATAAATGCCTCAAAGCAATGCAAAAGAACAGGCATTTTACAGAGATGGCACGTAGTTCAAGCATTACCTCTCTCTACAGCTATAATCATTAATCTCTGTCTTGACTTACAGTCCTACAGTGTACTAAATACTCTGCACACATAGTATTCCAGTGCAATAAGGTTCAGATGTAAGTATTAACCACAGCCAGAACAAAAGCCAACATTTTTGTTGTGTGTTGGACCTGTGCTTATAAAGCCTCATCCCTCACACTCCTGGGATCATATGGGAAAGAGCTCCATATGCTCATGGGCACAAGTCCAATAGCCAGTCTTCATTAGAACAGAGCTCTACAATGCTACAGGATCCAAACCCTCTCTATACCTCTTTTGCTGCCAAGTGTGTGGGACGCTGCACACAATGGAACTGAACATGAGGGCTGTGACAAAGGAGAAGAGAACCAGGTAGATGAGGCCTTCCACTCCATCATAGCAAAAGCCCGTCAAAGCCTGGACGTAATCCTGGAGGGAGAAATGAGCAGAGTTTCCCGATCATTAGAGAGTTAACATTGAGCTCTAATTCAAAAGCCCTTCCCCTGGACTACAGTCTCCGAAACAACTTAAGAGATTGTAGTTTCTTTTCCAGAGCATATTTCTGTTTTAATTTCAGGTATCTCAACTGTTTTTCATAACTGATCTAACCCTTATTTCCTCTCAGAAAGCACATCTCAGATTCATATATGGAAATATTTTCAACCCCACATAGTAAGAATGAGAAGAGGAGGGGAAAAAATGGGGAGTGATGGGGGGGGGGGGGGGTGGTGGTGGTGGTGACAGAAAAGAAAGCAAAGGCTCACGTAAGATAACACATTTTTCTTTAAGCACTTCAGCTCCCTCACTATGTCCTGTGGCCCAGGAACATATCATGGACTATCCGCTTATCTGCTTCCAGCATTTCAGCTAGGGCAACATTTAGTCCATGCTATACTGCAGCTTTAAGGCATTCCACCCCACGGGAAGGTCAATAAGCCATATGCTATGGAAAAAATCCCATCTGAGAGCCCTGAAACCTTAGTGCTGCAGCTTGTAGATGTATAAAGGCGTGTTATCTAGTTTCCTATGTTGATATTTGAACAGAAAGGTAACTTGATCCAAATGCCCATTCTCCTTTCTGCTAGAATCAAACAGTAAAAGCTGTTGCAAACTGCTCTGGCACAGCGGAGATTTGAAACACCAAAATAATCAGTACAGTACAGGCTCTTCATCCCCTTTGTTCTTTCTTAGCTCAAGCCCAGTTACTGAGCACTCACCAAATGCAGACTCCGGCAGTCTACTAAAGCTGTCAGTTGCTGCAAGTTGATCTCTGTTGAATTTAAAACCTCCTGGATCCGAGTAAGATACTCCTGTAAGCAACAAGCTAGCAATTACTACATGGAAATGGCTTAGCAGGAGCTGATGTTAGGCTTTGTACAAGGGTAAGGGAAGGCAGAAAGCACACAGACAGCCAACTTGAGGAGAGTTACCTTGGAGGTTGGGTGCTCTCTGCTCGCTGACCTCATGAGTTCCACAACATCATCCTGCATTTCTACCAGAGCCTTGTGACTTGCTGACAGCTTCTGCTCGACACAAAACATGCAACGTTTCAGCCAGGACACATGCACCAACAGAACTCCTGGGAAAAGACTTAAATCCTACTTCCCAAATATTGAAGCATCATCTGTATGAACGGTACAAGTTAAGATTGTCTCAACTAACATGGGTGCAGCTGCAAGAGGGTTAAGTTTGACTTTTACCAACCTGGAAGAAGTACAGACAGAAAGAATAGGGAAAAGCAAGAACCAAAAGAACAAACAAAAACAAAACACGTACACAAAAACCATACACACAGCTGGAGCTGGCTCCAGGACAGAGGGGAAGGAGAAAGAAAAGACAAAGTACTCATGTTCTCACCAAAGCACAGCTGGATTTTTCTACTAAATCAGATGGCTGAGAGAGACTTAATGTTAACACCAGCAGTTGTTTGTATTAGGGTGCAGCCTTCACATCCCATTAAGGCATCCATGGGAATTTCACATGCACTAGCATGTCAGAGCGTATACTGAACAACCAGAAATGCAACAGATGGCAATGGTGCATCATACCACAGCTTGAAGTGTTCTTACCCCACCCTTTAAAACAGAGGAAGACAAGACTTAAAAAATCCTAAATATAAATGGTGAAGCAGCTGGTGTCTGCCAAATGGTGGGTGGTGTGGGTTCATTCTGGCCTCTGATACATGACAAAGTTTGGGATGGACCCAGGTGCTGTTCTTCAGCCCCCACACAAAAGAATAATGACTCACATTTATACTTCAGGGTACAAACCCTTCAACATCCAAAGGATTTAAGAGGCATGTGTGAGAATCACTCCCTCACATTTTGGGAGTGAACCATTGCCACTGTTTAACCTAAAAGAACCTGCAAGAGATTCAAAGCACGATGTAGTTTCCCACTCTGGCATTAATTGTGGGTGCTCTTTCTTCATGTTGCTGCTCTTAGAGTGCCATATAAACAGAGATACCACAAACAGAGTCATGGTCCTCACCACATTACACACCTTCTAAGTGCCCTTCTAAGAGGGCACCTTGGAACTGAAACTATGCAGGTAGTGATGAAGTTGGAAAAAACCACTCACTAAATCACAGTGCCACCTCTTGCACAGCTGGGAAGTAGCTACCAAAGCTTTACCAACAGGTGGAGTGCTCCATAAAGCTAACACCCTGCAACTTGTTGCATGCTGGCATCAAAAGCATTTAACCTATACCCAGCAGGAAGCTGAGAAGGGGTGAAGGATGCTTATACTCACCTGCTGGAAAGGGTTGGGGTATCCAGCACTACAGGTCATGTAATAGCGGAGAGTATCTACAAAGAGAAAAGGACAGTCATTGTTCCATTATACTGGAACACTGTTTCAGCTTTGCAGCATTATACAACTGCCACAAGGGAGGTGTTCAGTTCTGAAAGCAATACACAAAATGAAAATGCAATATAATTGGAATCACTTCCATCTCTCCGTGTAGGATTACAGTGCGTGGATGGCACTAGAGAAAGGGATGTAAGCTGTCTTTGGGGAGAAAACTAAGATTTGTTTTCTTGAAGAGTGAAAGGCAATGGGGTTTTCCCACTTAAATAGCTAGATGAAACATCCAAACAGAAGTCAGCACTATCCACTGTATAAACATAAGACAAGACCTCAGTCTAGGATACATCCAACTGGATGATTAATTTCTGCAGCTTCTGAGTGTCAGAATACCATTCTACAGACACTTAAAGCAACTACAGGCTGCTGTCTAGGGCACATAGCAGAGAGAACTCAACTTTCAGCCCGTTCAGTTCACCAGCAAGGTCACTACACAACCACAAAACACTAGCCCAGGACAGGTAGTAACAGTGACATAAATACAGGCTGCTATCAAAACAGTGTGCTGTTGGGCCAAAGGAGGCGCATACACACATCTGGTATGCTGAATATACCACTTCCCAAACACAAATTCAAGTGTTTGAAAGAAAAAAGGGCAAAAGACACCCACCCAAAATCCATCTTCACAGCTTGGGATTCAAGTTCAAGGACAGACTGGTTTTAGGCAATGCTCTGTAGAAGAACATAAGAATGTCCTCCTAATTCAAGAAAGTCCTAACTTACTAACAGCGCCTCCTAAAAATGGTGTTACTTTGAAAGCAATTGAGGAAATGGATGGGAAAAGCTCTTGTCCTTCTGACACGTATTAGTGATGAACATGTAAAAAGAAGCCTGTTTGCTGATGGATATGTAATTGCACACAAACAGATTTTAATTAGAAGTCTTTAATTAAACTTTAAAAGAGTGCGCATCATTTACTTTGCATTCTTCTTTTGACTTATGTAAAGAAGCCATTTTCAGTATTGAGTCAATAATGCAGGGCTGATCAGGGAAGAAAGCTCTTACCATGCATTAGGGTAACAGCACCATGTTACCTGTTCAAGGAACCTCAGCTCATTTGCAGGTGTCATCCCAAAAGTTAGTCTCAATACTGAGTAGCTCTACCAGTAATCCTAGTACAGTGAAGACATACCGATAAACTTCCAGATATGACCTTACAGTGCTCTGCTACCAGCATCATTTATTTACAGGCTTGAAGACAGTTATATTCCTCCTCATTCAGATATGTATGAAACCAGCCTCATGCCCTCATAAGCCCTCCATAATACTATACCAACTGCCAACATGCCCAGATTACAAATAACAGGCTTTCCCCTGCCGTTCTCAATAATGCCATTGCGGAAGAGAGCTCTGAAAACTTATCATCCAGATGCCTTTAGATTATTTCTTAGACATTTACAGTTCCTCTTTAGACGAATAAAGGCATCAGCAAAATCAGCAGGTTCTTTTAAGTGATGTTGGCTCACTAAAGACTACAAAAGCCCCAAAACACACATATCTTCTGCACTTCTCCCTGCCACTAGCATCCTCTTCCCCATTCTCTTTAATTTTCTGTGACTTTCAGACACAAAAATTGCAAGCTGCAAAGCTATATTCAACAGCCCCAACTCAGAAATCAGCAAATGGCATAACCACAAGAAGCAGAGCTGTGAAGGAAGCAGACCTGATTGTATCCTGACTTCCCATAAATATTGAACACACCTTTGGGCGAGCCAACACACTGGAGACCAAGTGGTACACCACAGCCTGTCAGCTCCTGCACGCTGGCAATGTAACCTGACAGCTGGTATTTATAATTCATTAGCCTACTTTGGGGCAGCTTCTGCCAGCTGCTCCATCTCCCTCCCACTGACTCTTCCTCTGGGATGACCTGCATCTCCCCAGCCAAGCCTCCGACCAGCAATGGGGAGCAGGAACTGCTTTGTGTGCCTCACTCTGGCCAGACCACACAAGCAACTGTCCACAACTACTGAGCCAAAGAAAGGACTGCTCCTCCCAGGCTCATAAATCACACTCAATGGTGATGGGAAAATGGATTAAAATGCACCTGTGCTGAGAGAACAGCGCAGCAATCCACAGCATCACACATGGTCTGCACCAAAAGAAGTTTGACCAGCAGTTTGAAGGTGATCCTGCCCCTCTACTCTGCTCTCATAAGACCTCACTTGCGGCACTGTGTGCAGTTCTGGTGTCCTCAACATAAAAAGGACATGGAGCTGTTGGAGCAAGTCCAGAGGAGGCCACGAGGATGATCAGGGGACTGGAGCACCTCCTGTATGAAGACAGGCTGAGAAAGTTGGGGCTGTTCAGCCTGAAGAAGAGAAGGCTGCGTGGAGACCTCATAGCAGCCTTCCAGTATCTGAAGGGGGCTACAAGGATGCTGGAGAGGGACTCTTCATTAGGGACTGCAGTGATAGGACAACAGGTAATGGGTTCAGACTTAAACAGGGGAAGTTCAGACTGGATATAAGGACGAAGTTCTTTACTGTGAGGGTGCTGAGGCACTGGAATGGGTTGCCCAGGGAAGTTGTGAATGCTCCATCCCTGGCAGTGTTCAAGGCCAGGTTGGACAGAGCCTTGGGTGCCATGTTTTAGTGTGAGGTGTCCCTGCCCATGGCAGGGGGTTGGAACTGGATGATCTTAAGGTCCTTTCCAACCCTAACTATTCTATCATTCTATGATTTTGCCACCTATTTATTTTAAACCAACAAACCACTCTAAGTTTCTCTTAAGCTTTCACAGTGGTATCAGTTTTACATCACCTTTGTAAGTGCATTCAGTTGCATGACATACTGCTAATAAATAGCTCTAGAAATGTTTTTTGAGGGCCTTTTGGACCACCCCTGCTGAGCAGATTACAGAGAAGAGTTCCCAATATCATCATAGTTTGCAGCTTGTAAGCCCAGGATAAAGATTGCTGGTTACAAGTGAAGCAAAAAGCAGTAAGTGAAGTGTTTCCCTTGCTTGCCCCTGGAAGGCAGGATCAACAAGGCTTCACTGTGGTAGCACTGGCTTTGCAGCTGACAAGTGTGAAACCAAATATAAAACGTGCTTCCCAAAATGGCAAAGATAGCAGGAGCAGCTTTCCCCTGCACTGAACCCAGCACACTAATAGCTGTGGTGCTTTAAAGCTAAAGCTACAATAGGCAGTAAAGTGCCTTAAAGTGATCATACACTGCAAAGCTTGGAAATCAAGAGGAATGTGACCCCTGCCTCCATACCACCAGGCTGGGAAAGAGGAAAGAGCAGGAGGCACCTCCACCAGTTTTAAACCTGGTGGAGGCTATCCTGTACACCCCCAAATCTCCCATTTCTGTCCAGAAAACAGCTACATTAACCCATCATTTGCACTCTTAACAGCTTCAGGCAATTCCTTGCTATAATTATCTTTCCGATGCATTTTCCTCTCAAGGAAAATTCCTGAAGGTTGGATCTGATTTTTGAAGCCAGCCTTTAGGCAAACTAGTTCACAGGAGAAGGGTTAGGCAGGGTCACGTTTGCAGCTGCCTATGCCTGCAGCAATCCTCCTGACCCACTCGTTTAGTGCACAGGCAGTGAGGGAGCAGAAGGCAGGGAAGGGAACTACCCAAAATGCTTTATTTTTGCAAAATCTGGGTTTCCTAGAAAGGAAAGTAGAGCTGCCTGCTAAAGACAGCTTCAGCCGCTAGAGCTACTTATTGCTTTGCAACCATGGAGACTTACTATTCACTTCAAAGCCCAGCTGAAATGCAAAAATGGCATTATGCACCTGCCAAAAGGCAGTGAGAAGGTCTGTAGGGTAATGAGCAGATCCTAGCTGGAAAAACTCCTCACACCTAGAACAGCTTTTCCCAGCCCTACTTGAGCATTCTCTAAGCATCTCACATTTTACATATACACCCGGATGAGACTGTCTCTGTGGGTTCAACCAGCAGAGAAAGCTGAAGTCTATCACCTGTGATAGACAAAGGAAGATGTGCCTTTTGGCCAGGTTTTCCTGCCCAGGTAAGATGTTCTCCACCAGGAATTTCATTTCCCTAAGGCAACATTCTGACAGCAAAGGGGCAGATCTGCATAGCATTTATATGAGAAAGCTCTGCCTGTTGCTCAGACAGATTGTGCCTTCTTATTTAATTGTATGCAATAAGTCATCTGATAATAACACAACAACAGTGAAAAAGGATGAAACTAGAAGATGGCCTCCTGCTTTGAAAATAAACATCTTGGCCACACCAAGTCTTTTGACTAACAGCAGGAACCGATTATACAGACACTGTTCAACTCCATTGGCTTTATCTCAATTAATGAATACTGGATGAGTTAGGCACATATATCAGCCTCTTCTGCAAAATGATTTAAGGCTTTCCTTCTCCAGGAAACCTGCATTAAGGCTCTCTGCTCCCTGTTCTCCTCCCTCCCTCCCTTTTCTTAATGCAGCACATTTTATCTACAAAACAAGGAGATCAGCTAAAAACATGACAACAATAATAATGCACTTGATCAGATTAGTCTGAGCTCCATTAATTCTATTTAGGCTTGCAAACAGCATTTAATAGACAAACAGGAATATTAACATACTAGTTGCCCAGTATCCAACTGTGCTGGTTTTGGCTGGGGTAGAGTTAATTTTCTTTATAGTTGCTGATACGGGGCTGCGATTTGCATTTGTGCTGGAAACAGGGGTGTTTTAGTGACTGCTGAGCAGTGCTTACACAGAGCCAAAGCCTCTTCTGCTCCTCACCAGTGAGGAGGCTGGGGATGCACAAGGAGTTGGGAGAGGACACAGCCAGGACAGCTGACCCCAGATGACTGAAGGGATGTCCCAGACTATACAATGTCATGCTCAGCATATAGAGCTGGGGATGAAGGAGGAAGTGGGGACATTGGGAGTGATGGCATTTATCACCATCCCAAGCCATCATTACCTGTGATGGAGCCCTGCTGTCCTGGAGATGGCTGAACACCTGCCTGACCTGACCTGGCAAGTGGTGAATTGAGTCCTTGCTTTGCTTTGCTTGCCTGTGTAGCTTTTGCTTTACTTATTGAATTGTCTTTATCTCAACCCACAAGTTTTCTCACTTTCACCCTTCCCATTCTCTCCCATCCCACCAGGGGGAAGTGAACAAGTGGCTGTGTGGGGCTGAGCTGTTGCCTGGGGTTAAACCATGACAGCACCAGTTATTTTTCTGTGAAAACCACTATAACTATCACCAACAGAAAAGCACTGCAAATATACCAATCTCCCATCTCACCAAGGGGAAGTGAGCAGCGTTCATCTCTGTTTGAATGCCAGAGCAGAGGGTTGGGAATATTACAACACGCTATATTTAAAAACAACAACTAAGAATAGTGATTAAAGGGAAAAATTGACCCAGCACTACAAAGCTTCTTAAGGTTACTTGTTGGTTCTTCTATCCTTAAAAATATATAGCAATACGTAGCCCAGTATGCGACATGCCAAAAGCAGGTACCTAGGCAAGACTTGAGTGCTCTCAGGGCATGAGTGCCTTCTCAGCCCAACTTCAGCAGAAGTGATTCCCAAGGCAAATGTGATTACTAAATGTGATATATATATTCTAATTCCCAATGGATTCTTCTTCCATGGGTGACCTGAGCCCTTCCATCCACTCACACTCTTACTCAGCTCTTTTCTGAGCTGAAAAATCCGTGGTCAGCTACACTCTGGTTTCACTCTGATGGAACTAGCTGGAACAACTTTTGTTTCTCCCTCATCTGTCTGTACTGTTGTTAATGTTGGAGAGCATCATCCAAAGAGCAGAGGCAGCAAACCAGAGAGTCTGAAGATTCCATGCACTAGAATAATGACCCTTCAAACAGGGCATCTTCCCGCAAGAGGACCACACTTGATGCTGGCTCCCAGCTGCCTGCCCTGCCTCTTCAAGCTCACCGCTCTTGGTGTATATATGGCTCAGCTGATGACAAAGCAGCTGCTACAATTTACAGACAAGCATGTTAAGGGATACCAACACTTTTAAAGATGTTTCTAAGGAGTGTCATTGAGCAGTCCCACACTGCATCGTGACTTTCCTTCCTGCTCAGGTGCACGCGAGTGTCCCGACTTTGGGGACCGTGAGCTATTTCCGTAGCTTCCTGATCATAAACTATGACACAGCAGTGAAAATCCACATGGGAAAGGCAGAACATTGGATCATCTCCCAGCCAGCTGCCTAGTGCAATGGCAGGCTCAGAAGTTAGACTGATTTCCCTCTGAAAAAAAGGAGAAGGCGCTGAGGAACACGCAGCGGCTGCCTGACAGCAGGGAGCTGACACACCAGCCTCCCACAGAAGGGGCCACCCTTCCGACTCAAGCCTGTGACAACACCTGCTCTTCCTCCTCTTCAGCGTTTCGCTTGGACCCATTCACTGTTATTTATGGAGCCTTAACAACTGTTAAAGGTGGTGGTGCTGTCAGAACAGCCTGATTTCACCCGGGGGAGTTGGCTGTCCCTGCCCAGGGAAGCAGGAGGAGGGACAGAATGTCAGTCCTACACTCACTGTTAGGAGCCAAGCAGACAAGGGCAACTGAAACAGAGAAATTGCACAAAGGGGTGCTTCTTCAGTTTCCCAGGGTCAATCTAATTGTTACCAAACATGCTCCAGAACTGATTTGGGCTACCAAATTAGAGCCAAGTATTTCCCCTTGGCCTCACTGATCCGTTTGCCTCCTTGAGCAACTAGAAGACTAGCTTGGTACCTTGGTGCCACTTTGTCACCTTCACAGCCAAGAGAGGATTTTCATTTTGTGTGGTGATAAACACTCATTCTCCTCCCTTATTGCATTTCTTTGTTACAAAGAACGCTGCCTGGCTCTCTTCTCTCCTTCTCAGGAAATCAATAAATAAGGCATTCCAAAAATAAGCTGTAGAGTGATAATATCAACTTGTACATACTCTTTTATACTGCAGTCTGCCTCCAGACAAACAGTTCTTATTGCTTCCAATCCCTGCATCCTCAGCCATAGCTACCTACCTAATTTCTGATCAGTTGCACAGTGAGAGGCAGCATTTGGCTAAGCACCCAGCCATACACTAGACCTTCTGTACACAAGGCAAAGATTCTCTGATTCCACTAAATAAGAACTAGGGAAAACACAGATGGCTCCTTTTGCATATCAGCGTCATTGCTTATTTGTGTTTTATCATACAGAGGAACTATCAGGGGAGAGAAGGTAGGAGAAAAATTAATTTTTATCTAAGCAGCAAATTCAGTCCTGAAAAATCCTTTTCATTTCTAGCACTTACAGTGTCTTTGCTGGCACTTTCTTGTTAAACCACAGTTCTAAATGCCACTTTTGCCCCCCACCGAGGTCCCAACTGGAGGCACCCCACATCTCACCAATCACTTCAGTCTAAATTAGGCACCACAAACCCAAAACCCATTAGTACTTCAGCTGGATGCCACTGTGATGGAAGCATCTAGCTTTAAATGGAACAGGATAAACAAAAATACTGCATTTATAACGGAAAGGGAAAAATCATACTTATTTGTGGCACTTTCCATTCATTTACCCTTTAAATTAAAGAAACTACTATTTATAGCCCCCATGAAGAAAAAAATATAGATATTTGTTGATAAGAGATGTAAAAATGACTATTCTGGATTCAAGAACATAAGAGCAAGTTTTAAAAATGACAACTCAAACTGTACATTACTATTGCCACACTTCTGCCACTTAGAGAGGAGAACAAGATTCAAGAGTGCTATACTTAGAGCAGAATAATCCAGAGACTTCTGGTTTTCCATTTTATGAGTTATTTCCAAGACAGAAGAAAGGTTCTGAAGGCTCTTCTGACAAAACTGTACATGTACACTTCTGATCAGGGTATAAATGCTTCCTCGGGAAGACATTGGTTTTCCAGAGCTCCACAAACATATGCTTTTCCCACTGTGTGCAAGCTCCTCTGTTCCAAACACAGCCTTAAATTCTCAGCCCCTACCATGCTCCTATGTGACAGCTGGAGCCACAGTACCCCGTGCCAAAGCCAGTCCCAGCACTTACCAGCACTAAGCACTGCATTCTCTTCAACCACTTTGGAGACATAAGCATCGGGGTTAATACAGAAGTCACTGGAGCCCTAGATAGATGCAAGACAAAAGGGAAAAAGAATATCAAAGAACACCAGTATCAAAGACCAATTGAGCCAGGTTAACATCAGGGAACTCTCTACTATGGTCATGTTTCAGATGCTGAAGTCTCTCATCGTCACCCCCACTAGCACTGCCTTACACAAGCACAGCAGTGCTGGAGTACCAGCTAGTGCATCACACCACAGAGAAAGGAGGAGCTCTCCACTTTTCATAGATGGAAATTGCTAGGACAGCTACTTACAACAAGATGTGCTATAAAACACAGTGCAACATTAATCTCATGACTGATAAACCTGCAGCAAAGGGTGAACGGGACTTGGATCAGAGCCACTTACCACAGCGACAGCCAACTCCAGACCCAGGGATCCCCAGCTGACAATCAGGGCAAACACCCCAAGCAAGCACACCCTGTGGGAGACAGACAGATGGCAGATGTAGCAGCTCTGATTTCAAGCAGATCCTTCCACAAGATGTATTATTTGGAGTCCAAACCAATTGCCAAACCCAAAGTTATCTTCAGATAAACCATCCCCTTTCATATGAACAGCAGCAGAGAAGTTTATATCCAACTCTTGGTTCCCATGTTACCTGGCCCTGGGCCTGCAGGGAAGGAAGAAGAGGGTGGAAGCAAAGTCTTACCCTGCTTCTAGCAGGGAAGCCAAGGCACAAAGACACAGGGGTGGCTGTAAGGAAGGCAGATCAGCAGATGGATCCCACTGTTTTCAGTCCCACTGCTTTCACTATTCCCATTCTGGACTTTACTTTCCAGGTCCAAAGACATTCAAAGAAAAAAAACCCAAAACATCCTGATCCAAAATTGGACAAATCCCTCCTGTTTCTAGAATAAACAGGTGGTTGTTAGGTGTAAGCACTGCATGGCTAAGACAGTGGGAGGGAACACTCAGTCTCTGTTAGGACATCTCCTTTGGTTCCAAGCAGCACCTAAGCATCCCACAAAGCCCCAGGAGACACAGTCACCTGCAGGCAAACAGTTCAGAGCAACAGCTGAAGTGCCTAGCACTGTCATGTGAGTCCATCTCTTCACAGGTTTCAAAGTTCTCTTCCGAGAGCTGGACCTCATTACCAACAGAAACAGTGGGAAGTGGCTGCTATCAAGGAGAGAGAAGGCAGAGGGGTGGCAGAGCAGTGGTCTCAGTGATGTTGAGCTACCACACACCAGTGGAAAAGGGCTTTGCACTTCCCCAAATGGTGCATTAGCTCTTCACCTTTGCTGTCAGAATGAGTGCTAGAGATGCTTAGGCAAAAGTGCTCCTCAACTCCCTCAGGTCCAGCGATAGAGGCTAACAAGCAGTTTCATTTTATGTATCCCTATCTTCAAAGCCAAGGGACTTTGGGTTGCTCTCTCAGGGATACCTTTTCCTTCAGGCTTGGAAACATAAAAGCAGGTTCCCTCCCACCCACACCCTGAAGAAAACAAAGCAAAACCTGTTCATAACCAAGATATTTTTTATTCAAACCTAGTGCTAGCATCTCTGTAAGGAAAGGACATCTCTTTTTTTCTGTTGTATTTGTCTCATTGAAGAGTAGAGCTGTAAAAAATAAATCTATAGGTCTCCATTAAAAAGAAATCTACCCTTCAGTCTACTGGTTTATTTTGATTTTGAGTAATCCCTATTCTGTGAATGGATTCTGCTCGCCTTGCAGAAGTAATGGAGCTTCACCAGACTGACCCCTGTGCAGCACTGTGGAGTGAGACACTAAAGACTTTATTGTACTTTTTCCAAATGGATGGAAAAAATATTATCCAGGGATCAGCAAGGTTCTGTGGTTTTATGACAACAGACAACACAGCTTGGTGCCTCAGCTGAGCAAGGGTAATCAATAAGACATATTTGTTGTTTTATCTTAAATGAAGATGACTGGGTCAGTAACTGATTGTTTGGCTGAAAGATCTAAAACTGGCATTTCACCATCTTGCTTGGCTGTGATACATTTGCTTCTTTATGCCATGTGCTCCCTTTGGGGAATGCCTTAATACGAACTTTTGGCTAACGGGGAATGAGATTCTAATTTAAACCCTGGGTTTACCATCTGTGCATACACACTTGGACTTTTGTCTGTATAACCTGCCAGGTATGAAGTCACCTGGCAAATAATAAATCTGAATATGCATTCAAGTTATTAAAATGGCATCACCATGTACCAGGATAAACTCTTGGCCACGGCAGTTGTCGAACTGTCGCTGGGTTTATGATACCAGATCCTTTGCCAAACGTGCCAAGCTAAACCAAGCTACACAACAGGGAGAGGAATACTTGCTCTTGTAATGGGGCCTGAGCATGGCAGCATTTGCAGTGCCTTTTAGAAATAGGCATGCATTAATATTGCAGTACCATGGCAACAAGACTCCTCCTCATAACTGTACAAACCATTGCTTGTTCTCAGTTTAACACTGCTTGTTCTTCAGGTATGACAGCCAAAGGTAAACAAGAGCAGAGCATGACACAAAAGGCATGCTACCAGGTTGTGCAGATATATGCAATGCTTAACAGCACTTAACAAATGCCTTCACAACTGTAGAGGATTAAAGGGAGATTTTAAAATCCCATAAATTTAAAGGGAGGATATTCACATTGCCATCTTCCAGCAAATGGAGGCTACCAAAGCTACCCACTGGAAGGTAGACTGCCCACATGAGTTCCTCATCTTGCACGAGAGGGCAATGGACACCAGCACTATTGCAGTTTATAGCTCAAGAACCTTCCTGCAAAGATCTCTAACTTAGCCCCAATCCTACCCACGGAGCTATGCTCTACAAAGTGTCTTTACATCAAGAAGCTCATTTAAGATGTTCAGTCTCAGAAGTCCTTGATATCAACTAACAACAGCCTAAAGCTTTAAACTAGCAGGCACTCGGATTCAGATGGCCTTCCTTATCCTCTGTGCCTGGGTCAGAACTTACCCCATAAGAATGGCCCTGGAGTTTCTAATGAGCCCAAAGAGCACCAGCAAACATATCAGGACATGGAAGAGGAGCAGGCCCAGGTATCCCAGCCACCTGCAGCAAACAGAATACACAGTCTGTAAAGGAAAACTGGTGGACAAAAGGCACAGATCAATAAGCTAGTGTGACTCATGGGAAAAACATAGCCCTTTTATTTAAGTAAAAGCCACCACTAATGATTAATGTCCAGGGAGCTCTGGATACTTGCTGGGTCTAGAGTCAAAAGAGGTAAAAACATTTACACAGCATGGCCAGCATGCACAGTTGCTGAGAAATGAGACTGCTAATCTTGTTCTTGTGTAAAGTTATATGCAACTAGACACCATCAGGTGAAGAAGAGGCATTGCATCTTCTTGAATTCCCTAGACGTCTGTTAGAAAATGCTTATTTATTCCACCTGTGTGGACTGAGGTTTTATTTCATGGAAAACCACTGATGCAATCTTTTATTAAACATGTTTAATAAAAGGGAACATTAGGATGTGCTGTTAACTTATGGAACCAGTCCATTTTTCTGCTCTATTTAGCTACTGTGCCATGCAACTACAACACACTGATTAGGACACAACAGTAACTCTCTCTGTGGCTCTTTTTTCCCCAGTGTTAGAATAAGCTACACATTCAGAGTGAGGTTCCCTTCAGCTGGTAATACACACAGTTAAGAAAAAAGTTGTCCCACATTTTGATTTAAATTGAATGCAGTTTTGCTGTAAGAAACAAATGAGCTACGTGAGCCAACAGCACCTGCGGTAATATACAGCGCCTCTGGCTCAGCCATCCAGAAGACACACATCATTCTTGCAAAACAGATGCTACTACATCTACACTACAGCATGCTACACACCTGTACCAGTCATAGAGGTCAATCTGAATTGCCAGCTCCTCCAGAGACAGCTCTTCATTCTTCCAAAAGGGGATCTCGGTTGTTTGCCTGACCAGCTCATCCAAGAGACCTTGCAGTTTCTGGATAACATGCAGGTAGTCGGTCTGCTTTGTGAACATCTCCTCCAGGACAAGCAAGTTTGGTTCTGCTGTTTGGTTCAGGGCCACTGCAGTATCTAGTACCTGTATTATGGGAATGTAAGAGGGAGTTAAAAAAAGGATGGCAAAAGTTAGATAAATAATTAAAGGACAAGAAGTCAAGGAAGTAAAAGAGGATCCATTCTTACAGCAAGTCATGGACATCTACCAGATTACCAGTCCTCTGTCCTAGAGGCTCAGACTGCTTACCCTTCAAAAGCAACTTATAAGCATCTACAAAATAATTTGTTTGAAAGTAGTCCAATAATAGCATCTCAGCTGAACCTTTAACACATGCACACATTTAGCTACCATCAGGGTCACAGAATGATACCATGAAATTAGAGGCAGCACAAGAACAACTGATTGTGCTAAAACGATACATTTTACTAAGAGATTTGTCTGCTTTGGCCTGCCTCCTCTTCCGGGTGTGGAAGGGAGCTGATCAGGAGCTGTTTATAAACCTAGCAAAGGGAAGACTTCATTTAACAAGCTGTGTTTGCTTTGATATTTTTAGAAGAGCTGAAGCAATCACCACTCAGCTAATGGAAATTTTAGCACATCTCTAAACCCAGAGACTAACAAAAAATAGGAAAAGATACAGGCACAGCCAGATTCAAGACAAGAGCTGCTGAGCAAGTCTGCTCATTCCCACACTCTCTCTTTGCTAGCACATCTCTCCTAGTGCTTACCCTGTCCTGGACACCAGCCACAGTGCGGTTTGCATGGCGTAGCGAGTACGTCAGCCGGTGAATGCCGTCACTGGTCTCTCCATTCCCATAGAAGCCTACAGCAATTCCAGCACTGCAGAGAAAGAAAGGGTAGGGTTAGAGCTAAATGGCAAGCTATATAATGCATGGCTTATTAGTACAGCACCCTTGGTAATCACATCAGCACTTGCCACAGAAAGGGAAGACTCGTATCAAAGATTCACAGAACGGTTTGGGTTAGAAGGGACCTTAAAGATCATGTAGTTCCAACCCCCTGCCATAGGCAGGGACAACTGCATGCACCCCTAAGGGAAGCTGGGGTCATGCTCCTCAGCAACCACTAAAAAAATCACCTGTAAATGTTTGCCTGCGTTTTCCACTCAGCCATCAACTCCCTATATAGAATCCATATGATGAACAGAGGCACACCATCCCTTCTCAATGTGTAGATTTCATTTATGGTACAATAATGAAGATCTCTTGCAGAATAAGCCATGGGCAACCACAAATTCAGCCAGCCAAGCAGCTCTCCAGTGGCTCCTCTAGGAGCTACTGTTGCTATGTCAGGCGACACATGCCTTCTCTGGATGTAAAATACAGATTGTTTCATTAAATTTCTTAACAGCAGGACACAAAGAGCTTGCATTGACTGCTGTCCCATGATGGTGGTTCCTCTGTATTTGCCATGCCTTCTACGCTGTGAACTATCTATGAACCTCATCTATCTTGATTTATCTTCCTATTAGAAGCATTTGTGTCACACTGACTTAGAGTACTGGGAAAGAAGGCTTAATAACTTAGTGGGACAAAAGGCTTATTTATTGTTAAAGCAAATGAATTTCAAGCTTGTGGACACAATTCAGCTCCAGCTGCTTAGCAAATTACCACCTATCAGATGATTTGCCATAACTGTCCACACATATCAGCCTGCCCCAATTATGAAGTAAACCATATTAGCTTAAGCCTCACTTAAAGGGGGAGGATCCTGTAAATGAGTTGCAACCAAGAGATAATCTCATGCAAGTCAGTGATACATCTTCTATTAAAGCATCACTGCAGGAACTCGCAGTTCCTCTTCCCAAGCCCATTTTATCTAATAATAGAGGAGGAAAGAGCTTGTGAAGGGGTCACACAACTCAACTCAAGGCAAAAAAAAACACATTACCAAGATACAAAATTTCTATTCTTGTGTCACATTTAGTTTCAGCGCTCCCAGGATCTGTTCTGGGAAGGTTCTCACAATACCAGGGCTGTGTCTGTGGTAGTGGAAAGGAAGGTGTTGGTGGTTTTGGTGTAAATCTGAAGTTATTCTGGACAAAACGGTTTCTTCACAGTTTCTTCTTGTGCTTGAGTTACAGCACTACGCTCACAGAGCTGGTTTGAAGGGGGAATAAAAGAGGAAGGAAACAAGCCAAAACCCAGCTTTCAGAACAAGCAAGCATAGTGCCTTTGTTTAACAGGAAGGGCCACTAAAGGATATTAAGCATTCTTCACCAGCACCACCACCCAGCTGGGAAATGAAGCCAAGCAGGCAAGCCAGAGCGGGCTTTGTCTTGATAACAGACCCTTGCAGATTTGTTCTGGCACACACATCAATCCACAGTCCAAATGACTGTTTCTGCTCTTGCTCCTCTGCTGCAGGAAGACAGCATCCATCCCTCCTTGCCTGGGTTCATCCACTTCAGACAGACCAATATAGTTCACATGGGTGCATTTTCACTTTCTCCTCATAAATACAAGAAATAGAAGCAAAGATCACACATTGGAAGTGGATCCACTGTGAAAATCTGTGTGATGCTTTTTCCAACAACTGACTCTCCACAAATTATAGAGAGCTTGGCCCATAAAAACCTCAGCTGAAGAGCCTTCCAGGGGCATTAGGCAGCCTACATCATATCTAGAAAGGCAGCAAGTATATAACTCTTAGCATTAGTGTTAATACAAGAAATTATCCTCTTTCTTCATGAGCACCATTCCTCAAACATTTTCCTAATGCAAATGATGTTGGTAATTAAAGAGAAAAACCCTTTGCATTCCTCGCTGGCTGCAGCTATTATCGGAGCTGATAACGCATGCCTAGGATGCATGGGGGCAGAGGGGATAAAAAAGACACACACACACTTCTTACACTTAAAGAGATTACAGAGCCAGAGCTATGCCCAGGATAAGGCAACTCAGCATCCCATGGCTTGAATTTCCTCTTGTCTTATCAGAGCAAACATTCAGAAAGACCCTTTCGCTCTCCTGAGCAGCAGCAAACTTTAGTAGTTGTTTCTACTACAGACACACAAATTGCAGAACATTCTTGACATTCAATATGCAGATCTGACCCCTTTAATTAGCGAGCAGTTTTTATTCAGCCTGTTACAGCTACTAGAAGCTTATTCTTTCAGCAAAGGCTTGGTAAGTGCCCAAAACCTGCTGTTTGGCTCTCAGCATTCCCAGCACAGTAGCACTGTTACGGTGGAAAAGACTCAGAAACAGCACTCTGCAGTAGCAGCAGTTATCTTGCCCTTAAAGATGCAGCACAGATAGGTACATCAGTCAGTTTACTCAAAGGGACCATTTTTGAAGTGCTAGCAATGACTGGCAAGTGACTTGAGACTTGTTACCCTATTGAAGGCAGAACTAACCCAGCAGCCATCCCTAGGATTCCTATCCATCCCTGTGCAAACCACTGCTTTGACCTCCCTTAAACCCTCTAGGCAGTCACTATTCCTGAAAGAAAACACTAGAGCAATAGAAATTGGGATAAAAGCCATTTTATTCAAGTAACAAATTCCTCTAGACATGCATCTCTCACATTCACTAGAAACTACACCTAAAGCATTAAGTTTTCCATTACTGCCCAGCAAAAGCCAGCTCCACATTCAACCCCTGTGCTAGCAAGAACCACTTACACTGCCATTCCTTCTCCTAGGAGCAAGCTGCACAGATCTGTGGCAGTTCCCCTTACTATCATCCTAGAGAGGGAAGGAAAACATCCCTGAATCCCAGGCTGGGGGCAGCTGCCGGGACCCACGCTGTGACTGAGGAGGGGGCAGAGCTGAAGGGCAGGCAGTAGGAGAGCTGCCAGTGGGGGAAGAGAACTGTTGCTGCTTAGTTTTCTGTTTGCATTTGGCTTCATCTAAATCCAATAGTTGTTTCAAATCCCTGCCTACACACATGGGTGTAAGTTGCTATTGTTTAAAGCAGATTTAAGGATTTACGCTAGTTTTTAACTACCTTCTATTTGATTAAAGAGAAACAGAGGGGCTTCATCTATTTAAGGGCATTCTTTTAAAGTAAAAATAGATCAACTCATCTTAACCCAACAGTGTAAGTCCTTGAGGTCAGGACAAATCACATGGCTTCTTGTACAAACCCTGGGGGCTCAGTAACCTCAGATACAGCTGATCCATCTCCCACAAGAGGATGACAAAATCCTCACCCAATGGGGAAGGCTGCATTTCTGTCACGCACCGTGGATACAGGAACAGCATTCCTGAATGACACAGCTTTTTTCCACCCTAGCACCCTCTGGAAGATACTCCAACGCATTTTCAACGCTTCTATAGGAAAGTCATCTCCACTTCTGCTATTCTGGCTTCTGTCACACTCCCCTCCCTAGCACACACACACACCTCTCCTGAATTCACGCTGTCCCTTCCTCAATTCCTCCTCCCAAACCTACCTTTGTCATTCTTCCATCACTTCCATTACCCCCACCTCTCTCCTGCTTTCATTCTCACTCATATTTTTAATGAAAATCTCAGAAATCAACCTATCAAGCTCTTACAGGCCGTTTAAGCTGCTCTGCTATTCAATACTGCATTTAAAAAAGCCACTTGGCTACTCAGTCCTTTTGGTATGTTTTAGGAAACCCACTTATTTTAAGTCAAGAAAGCTGCTGAGCTTAACACTGTCATCACTGGAGCACACCCACAGAAACACAGTAGGGAGATAGTAAACTGTACCAGCTCTTCAAAGAGTTATATGACATAAGACAGAAGAGCAGCATGCCACGATTTCCACGTATTCCTGTAGATTCAACAGTACCATTTAATGTACTGCATATTGTGTGCACACACTTCAGCATCACTTTTCAGCAAGACTCAAGAAATTCAAGTCTGCGGAATAGCTTTCTGTTGTTTGTATGCAAAAACCATATGGGCTTAGGACATCCCCTGATAAAGAACAAGAAATATCAAGTGCAATTCCGAATTAGCTTGCAACATGACCTGCAAAAAAATGTTTTGTGGATTGCTCAGGGTATACATGAACAGCAGAATGTTAATCTGATACAGTGAGTATATACATGCCTTCTGGTGGTGAGATCCTCCTGGTTTAATACCCACGCACAAACAGTGAAAACTCCTCCGGGTACCCAGTCACCAGTCTGAAAAGATGAACACTAGCCATTCACATCACATCCTTAGAAATGAATAATCTAACTACACCAAGTCATCTTTAATTACAGGAACTTCATAAGGAGAGCCCTTTTTAGACTTGATCTTCTCAGGAGGAATGTTAATTTGTCTCTCTAATTACCACCTTGCACTTTCGCACCAAGGGAAAGCGCTATTACTGGCACTTTAGACAGCAAGTTTTCACCATCTATTTGTACCCATTTCTTTCACGTACCTTCTCCACAAAGCTTCTTACCCACCTTCAGAGCTGAGCTCCCTCCTGGGAGAGTTAGGGTCACCTAAACTAGTGGATGAGATGATTTATAAGACAACTCCCAATACACAGAAACCGATCAAAACTGTCAAGGACTAGAAGTTAAATAAGTATTCAAGGAATAATCTAGGCAAATCATTCTTACTTTGTGGCTAGAGCAACTGGGAACACTCATTAGAGAGACATTTTATTGGAGAGCTCCTGTTAACCAGTTATCCCTTCTGCTGGCTCAGCATTCTCCCTTTTGCTCAGCAGGAAATATCAAATCATTAGGAAACAGTGATCCACAGCACTCAGCAGGATTCACAGTACAAACAGCCCTCTGAGATTATGTACTACGTAAATAAGCATGTACTAGGCACAGCTGGACCTAACCAGAGTTAAGTAGTTCTAGGATAGGAAGACAACATAGGTTAACAACAGATAACCAGAGTTAACTAGTTCTAGGATAGGAAGACAGATCAGCTGCTACTTGGGACCTCTCATTGCTTCAGCATCCATCCTACTTCTCTCCCCTTGCATATGGTGCTACACACTGTCTCCCAGGTCAGCCTACTGTCAGGCAGACATTCAGAATAGCCTTATTCCCCATCACTCTGAGGCATCACAGCATCTGCCCGTCTGGCACTTTTGCTATGTGTAACACACAGCTCGGATAGGATATATCCAGTGGACTAATCTTTAGCTGTTAGTATCTAAATGGGACTTCCTGCTAGCACAGATCAGATTCCTTGCTTGTCAGAAGCCGCATCTACATTCCCAGCCAGGCAATGAGCACACAGTGCCAAGAGGTGCCAGTTTGAGTGCACTGTTGTGCCCAGCTGCTGGAAAAGGTGCAGAAAACTGACCTCAGCTTTGCAGGAGAGCAGCAGCACTTGGACAGCACCTTCACTCACTATGGATGGTACCAACCTGCTATTGCTCAAGTGCCAACAACATCAGAATGGATATTTAAAACTTGATTAAAAGAAGCCAAGACATACTCATTCAATATCACTGTAGATTCAGGTAGAATCTTAGTTGTAAGGATACTCCTATATCTAATACTTGCAAAAACAAATGGTACAACAAGGATGAGAACTACTGGTCTGGATTTTGAGGAAGCTTAAGCAGTTTTCCAGCTTGCAGACTTGACTGGGAGTAACATCAAGTTTACCAGAATTTACATGGTGACCTTCCAACTTCAAGTTGTCTCTCACATGCTGTTCTACACACCTCCTTCTCACCCTTTCCACAATTAAAACCAATCAACTACTACACTCTGCAGCAGCTGCCCTGGACACACAGGCTACTTTACAATAGCTAACAAGAGCCTGTGGCAGCAGCACAACTATAAATAGCATCAATAAGAAAGGGTTAGGACCACAGCACTTTCAGTGGATTTGAATGGATGCAGCTGAAGCTGCCGAGATCACTAAAAAGAAAGGTGAATGAGGCTGAGATTTCTTTTTTGCAAGTTGTTTTCTGGTTTGCCTTTCCATTCCTATTTGCATTCAGCAAAGTACAGAAGAGCTCCCTGCAAAGATGGCAACATTGGCTAGTGCAGTAGGTCTCCTCCTCAACACTGAGCCCCTGCCTCTACAGGCAAACCCATCCCTAGCCACCAAACAGAATGTCTGCTCTGCAGTGTTTGTTCCAGACTTCAGGGGTTTTCTATTCTCTTAAGTATGTGGCTTGAAAGAACAAATATACAAATGCATTAGTAGCACAATCTAGCTCTTGAACAGCTAAGCCTGGCCTTCACAGAACATTCTCACCTTCAGAAAGATCACATACCAGATCAGCAAGTAAACACAAAAAAACATTGTTATCTCTTTTCTGAATAGAAGGCTGTTCCCAGCCCTGCCAGCCCTGCAGAGGGGCAGTTAAGACCACTTGGAGTCTTGAGGGAGAGAGTAGATGATGCATGGGATTGTAAGAAATGCAACGCTCAATCTCAATAGACAGCTCATTTTCAGAAACCCTTCTTTTCATTTCATCTCCACAACCTTCTATTGCTCACTCATAACATGAAATGTTACTGACACTAGCACCATTACTAGCAACCCTTGGAGATGGTACATTAGCGCAGATAACGAAATGCAGCAGTGTCTTACACAGGCTGCAAAACCTGAATGTCCACTCCAGCCAAATACAAAAGAATCCTCTGTGCCTCTTTTGTCCTAATCTACTCCACCACAGTCATTTTTTTTGGACACTGGATTCTAAGAAATCTCCAACCAGACATGATAAATATTTCAACTGTATCCATCCCATTTAAGCGATAAGCTCCCAAGGATGCAGTGTCCTTGATTTACCACTTGCAAAGCATCAAAGAGCAAGACATTAGCTATTCCTTTTCACACTGCTCAAACCATTAGCCAGTTCAGCAAGTGGCAGAAAGGAAGAAAATACATTAGATATGTAAGTCATACGTGTATCAAATGGAAAGAGGGATTACTGCCAACATTCACTAACTAGACCCAGCATACCAAGCATGAATATGCACGCACAGGACACACCACCCTAAATGACAAGGAGGATCCCTTTCAGGCCTCGACCGTACCTGCACACCAGGGTTGCAATGATGACACACCATGCTGTACAGCAGCAGTCAGCATTTAGATGTTCTTCACTCTTCCGATGGCGGCAGCACAGCCAAAACGAGTAGAACAAGAGAAAGAGCAGGTCCAGAGCAAGGCAGGAGAGCGCGATGCCACCCAACAGCAACAGGGCCTGTGGAAAACAGAGATAGCATCACATCTGACCGCGGCACAGCCATAGCAAGGGTGTGAATCAGGGCCCAGATGTTTAAGGGCTCTGCAATAAGTCAGTGCCAAGGAACACCTTTAAAGTGAGTTGGGGTTTGTGTATTTTTTACATATAAACAGGAGATTTTTAGCCCCACTTTCTTCCCTCTCCGCATCCCACTCAATGAAACCTGGAGAATGGTTGGACTTGATGATCTTAAAGGTCTTTTCCAACCTAGTTGATCCTATGTTCTGTGCCCTAAGCAGTAAATTGCAGACTGGGACAGACAAAATGGCTCAGTTAACAGACTAAGTGAATCAGAGAGGGTTTTCCTCTTTACTCCTGAGCAGAGAGGTCAGCAGATTTAAAGGGGAAAAAAAAGTTCAGCCAGCTGCCTCTATCTGCACAGTTCTTTAATCTTCATGAATAAATATGCAGGCTTATTCATTAGAAATCCAAGTGCATGAGTGGGTTTGAAAGGGGGTGGAATTTATTATACATGCGTGAGATTGATTTAAAAAAATGAATCCCCATGCCATGCTTCTGTTCAAGGCAGATCTAGAATAAATGCTAAATCCCTCCATATACCATTCGCATCTATAGGTACAACAAACATGGATGCTACAGACACATTGGCTTGAGGCCATCCCAAGCTGAGTTACTGTGTTATACCTATTTCTCGTCAGATGTTCCTGGGCAGAAAGGAAGCAGTAAGTGTTTAATTCTATTCTAATTTCATTTTGCTCCTTTCAAATTTCTCTGTATTTGGAAAAACCTAGATTAAACCCCCAAAATGCAAAATAATTTTGTTAAATATAATGTAAAAAAAAAAAAAAAAATCCATTCTAGCCCCAAATCCAGCCACACTTTCCCACATGAATTGATCAAGTAAAAGGATGTTATTTTATCCATATGCTTTTTTGGATAAACCCCTGGAGTGGTGACAAGTGCCAGCTTATTAGAAATGACTTGAATATCTGGAAAGGTCCTAAGTCACCCGCTGTTGTCCCAGTATTGAAAAGGCAGACAGATTTCTATCAGCAAACCTAAACCAAAGCTTTGTTCTTTTAAATCAGTATCTCTTTTCCTCCCCATGAAGAAATTCCTTAAAGACCATTTATATGCTTCCTCCCGATTGAAACAACAACTTCCTCCTGGTCAAAGAAATAAACCAAAGGATGCTGTGATTAAAGTAAGATTCTTAACAAAACTGGTGACTGTTTCTAACAGGGTCTGGTAGTAACTTGCTTTTTGTAGGCTTTTCTTCCCCTTCTTTCCCCCCCAGTTTGCTCCATAGGTACTCCCTGATGAGATATTAACCTGGCAAAATGTACGAGCCACACAACATACTTTCCAGCCAAGCAAACGTCAGAGTATACAGAGTATAGGGCCCATCAGCTGCACATAACGAGATCCACACTAGTTAAACCTAACTGCTGCCTCACAGATACTCCACATAGCCATACATTGTTTTTTTTCCCCAGCCTAAAGGAACCTTTGGGTTCCAAAGCCCACCGAGCGCACTGGGATGGGGGGAACTTGCAGGGGCTGCTTTCCCAAACTGAACAGCAGAAACTCGGTCCCGTTGTAGGAACTGAACTTTGGTATCTTTAACAGAGAAGAGTGGGGGTGGAAGGGAAAAAGCCCTATCCCCCTTTCCCATGATTATGCCAGATGGTGTGCACGCTGTTTGAGTTCCTCAGCAGAAAGGGGCCTTCGAGAGGGAAGCTGCACTCAGAGCCCCACTTTCTCCCACTTCTGAAGGCTTGCCATGTACAAGCACTCAATACTAATTTAACCAACACATTTGGCATACCAAAGCTCCTTGGGGATATTCTTTATTTTCTAAACACATCAGGCTGCTGTAATGCAAAGCTTTCCTGCACTGCTTGCTTGCACTTCTTTCTTCACACCCTCAACCTTCCTGCATTACCACTGGAAAGATGAATTCAGCTGAAAACATCCTTCCAGCAATTCTTTATCAGCAAAAAAAATCACACTGGAGCTCCAGATGTAGGGGAACAGCCCCCATTAAAAGGCAAAGAAGGAAATACTATAAAGAATAAGGAAAGAATAATTGAAGACTGCAACCTGAGGATCTTGCTTTGAAAGGACACTTAATATATGCTTTCATTTATGCATCTGGCCAAAAGGACTTGGCTGGCCACTACACCACGATCTGTGTTTCATTTTCCAGAGTATTTGTTTTCCATTAATGGATATGTGCCATGACAACAAGTGAAATCATCCAACAGAGCAGTTATTAATCTTTCTGACTGATGAGTCAGTTTAGGACCCAGAGACTGGCTGGCAGTGAAAGCCTGGTTGCAACCAAAGGGATGCCTGTGCCTGCTTGTTGGGATTAAATGACAGTATTTAAAAAAGGGGGGTTGAGGCTGGATAAACCCTCAGCCACTCTACCCTGCAACAGTAAATCTGGGACTCGGTTATCCAAGGCCACGTTATCCTGAGTAAATGTGAAATTATGCACTGGGCCTTTTGCCACAAAAGAGCATCAATTCGTCTTCAAACATTTGCTGAGCTATCAGAACCTTTAGAGCAAATGATGCATGAACTGCCCTTACAGGAAAAAGGAGACAACTTGGAGGAGCAACATTTTACCACTGTGCTGACACTAATGGCAGAAGTGGAGACAAGAGCAGTCCCTGAAAATGAGCGTAAATCCAAGTGGTAACAGCCAGACTGGCAGGAGACAAAGCTACACTGCTAGGAAGCACTTTCAAAATAGAAGTTAATAGCAGTACATGAGCGGCATTGCTAGCTTGGAAAGGCACCATGAAACCTGAATACACCGTGTCTTGTGCAGGAATGGGGCTTGACAGCCTGTTAGTGTTCATAGCCTTTCTCAACTCCAGCATCCTTGCCAGGATTCATGGTATTTACACTTACAATGGGAGTAAGAAGCCAAGAAAAGAGAAGAGGCAGAAAACATCTATGTCCCCGTGCACCAGCACAAAAAGAAACACAGCAAAAACATCCCCTCCAAAAATACCTGAGGGCTGGAATGAGGGTACCCGGAGGTGTTGATGTTATACCTAAGGACATATATGTAGATCGGCCTTTAGTTAGGTCTCTGAGACCATGCCTTATGTTACATCAACTATACCAATAGATAGCCTTATCTACTGGATAAAAAGTCTCCATACAAAACAGTCACTTTCAGCTTCAAGTTCCACATCATTACTTACTTGAACGTATTTGTGGACTGCAGTCCAGGAAGGCTAATTTTACCTGCTGAAAATGCACTTAAGGGGTATATACTCCATCCTACATACATAGTCACAAAGAGAAGCAATCTAAAAAGAGGAGCCACAACACACTGTAATGCAGGAGGTGAATGCTGGGTTACTTTCATGTTAAGTGTCAAGGTTTAACACTGCCTTAAGTGCTCTTTGTTCATCCCTCAACTATACAGAGAAGTATAGGGCTTATGGACCCTTCCGCACGCTGCCATGTCCTCTGCCCTGTGAAGGTTACTTGGCACAAGAAGTCCTGGCAGCAGAACAGGTTTAGGAAGTTAATTCTCAACACACATTGGCACAAAATATTTCATGTGTTTATTGAGCACAGGTTTTACCAACTCTCAACCTATCCAGTCTCCAATGAACACATTCTTTAGACCTTAACTGTGCTAACAGCAGTATGAGTAGTGAGCAGCTCTTCACGTGGAATAGATGACAGCTATTTCTGGATAGCACTGGTATTTCGCTACTAGGTAGAACACTAAAACCTCATTAAGAAACTTGAGAGCAAAGCTGAAGCCTTCAGATAGTTCCTGAAAAGCATGCAGCTTTGCTTTTAAACTTCCATCAACAGTTCTAAAGGTATTTCATCTTAAAACTTCATCATTTCAACCCACAGGACAAACTAGCTACAGCTTTTGAGTATCTTAACACCACAGCTGTCTTAATCATTGCCAGATAGAGAACTGTTTATAGGTTTACCTTAAAGTTGGCTTTTGCCAAGAGAAAGCTTTCCACTGAATCTGCAAGTAGTGTTCCTTCTGGATTTCCATGCAGTGACTTGAGATTGTGATAATAAAACAGACAGAAGAGGTTAAAGGAGTGTGGGAAGAGAAAAACGTTCACCCAGAAGAATAAATGAAGCAACCTGGGCTGCTGCCAAAGGAGCACTCATCTCTATTTATTCCGTGAAGGACGGAAGTCTTCTTAGCAAGAAAAGAAACTGCTGTGGGATAGTGTCATGCCCACACTACTTCCTACACCATTTGGTTTTGCAGACTTCAGGACATCTCTAAGCAGCTTACGTACTCATGGATAAGTAACTGTGTGCTACCAAAGTGATTCTTTTTTGTGAGACTGGCAACGTGAGGAACACACTCTGACCTCCCCCATCAATTCGTTCTGAACATACTGTGTGTTCAGAGACTCTACTTTCATTTCTGAAAAAGGCTGTACATGGTGTTTGTTGGGATACTAAAGTGTCTCAGGATGTCGTTCATCCCACAGCCTCTGCAGAAGGATGCAGGTTTTGGTAGGGAACGAAGCCAGCCACATATTGGCAAATGTAATATGGGGGGAGGATGTGGAAACCACTGCTGATCTCAGCACTAAACCATCCATATCTCCTCTGCCCGGGGGACAGGCCTCCCAGGCCAATTACTGTACTCAACACAGCAGAGGATCAAGGCTGGGCAGGAAACGTGCTGTGGAAGAGGCTTTTCCCACGGTACCGAGATGTATTCTCCTTCATGAGGGATCCCTCAGCAGCATGGAAGAGCACCATGGAAACAGAGGACAGGCTCTACCATCTCATCTCCTTATACAGACATCTCCCAGAGAAAGCACATTGTTAAGAGAGTGCAGTAGATTATACAGATATTTAGGGCAAGTCCACACTGGAGCAAGCAATATAGGCCAACACTTTGCCTTTAGCTTTTTTTGTACTATTGGCTTGCTTTTCTGGAAAAGAGAAAATGCCAAGGATTATGTTGTGTTTTGTTT